TTGGAGGGAAAGATTTAAGATTTAAAGCATGCAGTTTGAAACACTGTTGAACAAGTCTGCAGTAAAAACAGTAAAAAAAAAAGGAGGGGGGGTTCTTATGAATTTGAACAAGCAAAAACTGCCTGTCCATATTCATGTCACCTGTGAGTTTAACACCAATGTGCACTTTTTCAAACTTAAATGGTTTTTTAAAGTTTATCTTCAGTGCCTGGAACTCTTAAGATTAGATGTTGGCATTTGTGCATAAGAGGTTGTGGGTCGTCAATTTGTCACAGGTTTGCAGATCACTGACCTTTGTGAAGGATCTTTAGTGAGTTGTTGGGACTGGGAAGGAATAGTTCATGTACAGTAAACATGTCTGTGCCTTCTCACTTTTGCTCTGTGGCAGTACTGGTAAGGTTCACATGCAAATAAGGTGTCATTGGTTTCGTGGTTCTGTGGAGGAATTGGAAACATTTGAGGAAGGTTCCCTCAATTATAAATGAGTAAACATTTATTCTTTGAAAAGCCATGTTAGGGACAACTCGGGAGGTCCTCTGCTATTTAGGATGAAGTTTGTATTTTAAAGTAATTTTCACTCTGGCCCAGAATGAAAATCACAAGAGTGAAATAACAGCATTTTCAAAGGGCCAAATTAGGGCCAAATAATGAATCAGATTTCCATTCTCACATTTAGAGTGTATAGTCATGGGCATCAATTGGTGGGGGAACATCCGTCCCCCACTTTTCCAAGTGAGGGGGTACTATATCAATTGGGTCCCCTCCTTTTTTCCCAAACCTAAATGAAAATGTATACCTTGTAAAAGCATTTGTTAAAAAAAGTGGCTGAAGTGGCCAAAAATTGTCTCAAATCACTCCACAGAGTATCTATACTCCAAAATTTTGTAGGGCCCATGAACGGGCCCTGGACCCCACACTGCTCAGGGCTTTGCGTTCGCATTTGTTCTGATCAGGGTTATGTCCCGTCCCCACCCCTCAGTTTTCAAAACGGATTGATGCCCTTGAGTACCGTCAATCAGTTGCTGTGATTCCCAAAAGCGCCTGGTCTGCCACACTTCTGTACAGCCTAAAAACCCCCTTGATACTCTTTGGTAAATACTGCTTGTATGTACGTGTAGTACAGGTGTTAAAGGTGTACATGTAACTCTCCTTCCACCAGTTTGATTTTTATTTTTAAGATAATATGTACAGCTCACTTGCTAAATGTGTGGAATTCCATACTGTTGATGCCCAACCATATTTCCAGGTGTAATCGTTCATTTTTTGTAGTACCTTCTGGTCATGTTGCCCCGGTTACCAAGAATGTCACTCCAGTTATTGTCAGATTATGTGGGGGGGGGAGGTGACCCCGAGGTGGGGCAAATATCAGTAGAGTTGTCAACCTGTTGTACATGTAGCAGTTGGGGTATTCTGGGACTAGAGCCAGGAATATTGGGGGAGAAAAAGGTCTTCTAAAAGGGGCCAGTGTTGAATGAGGAGTAAGTCATGGGTGTATTGAGGAAGCCAGAACAATGAGGAAGGTCACGGGAAGGCTTAGGGGCTGCCTGTAACTTTGCCCGGTGAGAAAACTGAGACAGGATGTCTTGGCCTAGTCTCCTGAGTTATTTAGGGCCAAGGCCGTTTTGTTTGGTAAAATTGCGAATGGGATGAGGTGTGTTGCTCCATTGGCAGAGCCTGAAGTCGATCCAGAAATTATGTGCGGATGTTTTAATCTTAATTTCTGATGAAATGAAATACATTGTACATGCTTTGGGCTGTTTTCTTGATTTGTAGAATTTCAAGAATTGCGTCTTTCTTCCTTACATTGCTTCCTTTCATTATGACATCACCAACCTTAAATGAGCGTAGTGTTGCTAAGTAAAGTATTTTTTCAAAAATAACACCATTTCAAAGGGGGAAGATATTTATTATGAAAAATGAAGTAGACCAGCTGTCAAAAAGAGGGAAATAGGTGGAAAGGCTTGGGGTAGCACCATGCGAAGGAATATATCTTTTATGACTGTGTGTGGTTCTGAAAAGAACCGGGAGTATAATCAACGCTTCGGACTGCGTGCTCAGTCTGTCGTCAGGACATGTACGTGTAGGCCTACTCCTTGAAATACGCAGTTCTCTCCTTAGGAAGGAGGATTCCCAATTTTGAGCATGTGATTATTAACATTTGTCAGGAATGCTTTGGAGTACGGTGTTGTTTTGCTGCATTGTTCCTTTTTTGGGGGGGGGATATGCCATTTATAACTTTGCACCCTCCTTTCTAAAAAATTGACTTGTGCTGTTAGTTTTGGGGTGTCATCCTAATTGCATTTGGGAGAATACATGAAAGTTATTTAGACAGGCAAGGGGTATGAAAATAAAACACAAATCACCTTCGTTTTAAGGATTGGCACATGCACTTTCACATTGCATATGTTTCGTCTTTCATGCTTTCATTTTGCTAGTTTTGTCCTTTAGATTCGCTAACAAACGTACGTTTGTAAATTTTTGCGTCTTGATCTTGTTGCACGGATTTTCATCCCAAGAGTGCAATATTTTCCATTGTCTTGTTTTACCCACAAAATCTCTCATTCTGTGAACTTGAGGATGTTCAAATACTGCATTGCCTGTACATTGCACGATGAGCTTGATAATGAATAATGAGTCAGTTAATCCTCAATTTGAAAGGGGAAAAAAGAAAGAGGCAGAATGTATTGTGCAGCATTTACATGTACCACACTGTCCACTTCTTCAGTGCCAGCTGCTAAACAGCTATATTTTTCTCACAAAGATAGGGGCTTGATATTATTCAGTCTGTGTTAAAGCAGGGGGCCAAGGGACCCGGGCTTGTTTACTCATATTTTGCCAGGCAAATAGTCCTTGGGAGAGGAAGCTTTGTGCAGCAGCGAGCACATGCATGTGTGCATCGTTCCCCTTGGATTTGGAGAAGGCCATGTGGCTGGAGATACCATGTGGCTGTTGGGAGCAGAGTACACGTGGGTCGCGACCCCCAAAGTGCCGGGGTCTCGCTTTGTATCCTGAATACAATTCACATGAACCCGGGCAGGTTACAGAACCTTACATTCATCTGTGTACATGCACGTGCTGCCGTTGCACTGCAGGGAGAAAAAAAGCCGGTTCCACAGCGAGCAGAAATGCATGAATTCATTAACCGACGGGACACCGGTTAGCCCAGTTGTTTCCACAAAGCAAATAAATCCAAAGTGCAAGTACGCAGAGCACGGCGGTGTTTGTAAATTAGTGCGGAGGATGCTACAGGAATTCTGATGTGCATGGCAGCCATTTGATATGATTATTGCAGAGTGTGGGAATAAATTGGGAAATCAATTTCAAGTGTGTTTCTGTGTAAGAAATCGTTTTGTTTTTGTGGTTTTTTTTTTTAAGATCTGTCATTAAAAAGAAACTGGCTTATGTTAAGTTATTTTATTGAATATTTTGGTGAGCCCACTTGTGCTTAGATGGATGTAAACCTTTATTTCATCAAACAAGTACCAGCATATGGTCGGCTCTTCAGCAAACACTCTCTTCACTAGGCAGTGTCACAGAGGATAAAAATTCGCCAGACCCAGAGATTTTGCATGAAAAGAAAAAACCTGCCAGCTGAAATATTTACATGTTTTGTATTGTTCTTAATCTGGTCTCATCTAATTTTACAACATGCAGGAGTCTGGCAGTCAGTATGGATTGACAGATAAAACAGCACAAATTCAGGAAACCCTTTAGGGAGTTGTACTGTAACTTGTTTGCTTTTAAGTACATGTACATGTACATACGTGTACATTGTACATGTACATGTAATGTGTTACTCTGCCCCAAGTGTGTGAAGAAATTGAAATCAGTACATGTGCTCAAAATTGAAATTGCACGCTGCATACACAATGCATGTTGGCCTACTTGTAGGCCTAGCTTTGTAGAAAGTCAAAAGAATTTACTGCAGTGCATTGCAAGGTCACAGAAGTATTGGTGTCAAACCATTGCAAACCAGTTTCAAGGCAGTTGGCATGTTGGTTAATGTGGAGGTTTTACATTTGTTTAGCTTTATCCCCACTTCTGTTTCTGAGGTGGTGTGTGCACCTGATGTGAGATGCATTCCCTTTTTTTAAGAGTGCGCAGACATCCTGATGTGTCTGCAGTCGGGTCCAGGCAGATTAATTATGACAGTGCCTGTTCTGTGCAGGGTGTCGCCGTCCACCACGCCACTGAGTAGTAGTGATGTTACTGAATGTTAGATCTGATCATCTCTCTGCAAATTTTTAACTCGGCACACTTATACATAGCACCCTTTCTGCCTGGAGGTGCATGTATATGGACACGTGCCTGCTGTGCTTTTATTATTGGGAATTGATCGTAGGAGGAGTGGCAAATTTCCTCGAAATCTTGTGAGATTCACACTCCGGCTTTCTAGTTGCTCCTGACTGCTCAGTGGGTATGCAAGGTGGGCGGGAGTAACCTTTAAAGGTTCTTTCTTCTGTCACAAATTCTCCCCATCCAATCGGACACACTAAGCTGAATGTTCTTTCTGAAGAGAACTTGAATGAAAGGTTATTGCCGTGGAGATCTTGAGAACACCTACGTTTAAACGTGAAGATTCCAATTGTAATTTATTCGGCTAACTGAACAAAAATTGGAATCACATTGTATGATAACCTACAACACTGGCTGTAGATGCATAACTTGTTTAACACTTTAATATTGCAAAAATGGAAAGCAGGAAAATGAAAGAATCTGGCAGTCCCAAATTGCCAGTCTGACATGACAAACCTTGCGATCTTCCTATCAACTTTTTGCGTCCTGCTGCGAGTCAAACGATAAAGGAATTGAATGGGAGGTCTCGCAGTCATGAGATTTTGAATGCAATGTAATCATGTAGGGTACCATGATATATTTGATTCAAATACCAGGTAAGTTGTACCAGGTCAGGGCAGGCATGTGTACAGTATCTGTCACATTTTGGACTGTTTATTGTTCAGTTATTCATTACGTCAGATGTCTGTTTTTCTTTTCAACAGAAGTTGATGAGGGCACATGGGACAACGGACTGTCGTACGAGTGTCGTACCCTCCTTTTCAAGTCTTTGCATAATCTAATAGAGCGGTAAGTCACCTGTTATTGAATGATATTTCTGTCCCATGGGGGGGACAACTCGGTTTCTGTATTCCATTCGTGATAAAAACAATACAAGTTCAGGTGAGGCACATTCCATAAGCTGTTTACTTTGGTCCACTTCATTCGGGTCATGAAGGAACTTTTGAAACCAAGATGTGTACATTCTTGGAACTGATCTAAAACTATTAAACAAAATTAAATGCACTGTGCTCACTAAATATTGACAGAAAGAATGATTTTAATATTAAATTTTGTCTCTGTTTTAGATCCTTTTTGGTGGTCGTGATGACATTACCTTTATGTTACTGATAATGCTCTTCTTAAAAAAAAAAGAAGAAAGTTGGTTCTGATACTCGGCTGAGATTTGCTTTTCCCGCCTGTCTGGAAGGTAAAAGAGCAAGGGGCTGATTCGTGATTGATTTCCCAGGCTATGGGGAGACGGCACATTTCTTCAATGCCCATTTAGCTGTGCAATTTGACAGCTGGGGCTCTCCATTTGTCATTATGCATGCAGGCAGTTTTATTCTCAGCCTCCAACCCTGCAATTTGTGTTCACTCCATAAAAACCACAAACCACCCTCATTTCGTTGAGCTCGGCTGGTTTTCCTGCCTATCCTGAACGACTGGGAAGTTGCATGCATGTCTATTACTGAATGTAGTGGTGTAAAAAGTGCATGTACATGTACAAGTGCATTGCATGCACAAGTACTGTATGTGTACTTAGATGGATAGTACACTCATACCATTGTACTTTAATAGGCCTCACTTGTTATTTTTTGGATTACAGATTTTTTTTCATTGTTGCCAATATTTTTAAGGAGGTAGTGTCAGGATGGAATGAATATAAAAGTAAATACTCGTCAGAGTTGAGGTCAGTCATTGTTCTGTTTTTATGGGTTAGTAAATAGGGAAATTGGTTACGAGCCAGAGAAACTGGTGATTTCTGATTGTAAATAATAATTTGAAATGTTTATTTTTTTTTCTGACAGTGCCGCTGCAAGTATTATTGTAATATTTTTTTTTCTACTTGGCCAAATTTGATTAATATGTACTATTTGCTTCCCAAAACTGTTGGTACGTCTTTAGAATGGAAATAAAAAACACACACACAAGTGACCCTAAGAGGCACAAAAAATATGGGCCGTTTTCCAGTACTCAACTTCGACTCCGTCTCAGGCTTCAACTGTTTTTAACTAGCTGACTTTGAAGCTGTATGCACAGTAATTAGACTAATAGTGCCACAAAACATCAAATAAGATGCAAGAGAGCAAAAACTTGCAGTAATCCACTTTGATTTAAACGCTTCGGGCCCACAATCGGGGATTGGTTTCGGGGACGAAGCCTGAGACGGAGACAAAGTTAAGTATTTGAAAATGGCCAGGGTGAATCATGGATAACGTTGTGAACTTGATCACTTTTATCTGTACAGCTTGTGCACAGTACTACCATTATGTACACGTACATGGTCATCCAGGATTGCATATATTTATTTGGGATTGTCCAGATTTAAGTGGCATTGGGCCGATGCACACTTGTATCTGTCATGTCTGAAAGAATTCCTCAGCTTTTTTGCTGAGGCTTCCCACTGTGCCTTATCTGTGTATTACATGTATTAGTGAATCCCTCCCCTCCAAGAGGAATTTCCCCAGGAGGGATCCTGCATACATGTTGTACATCTGCTGGGGCGTTATCTCCAGATTTCACAGAGCCTTCACGTATGACGGATGTCCCTCTGGTGACAGTGGGAGAAATGCAGTCCGCCATTTGATTTATGTACATTGTACTAGTAGGCCGCACAACCTCCTTTAGTGTTAAGAGATTACATGTGCTTAACACACTGCGTGCATGTACAATGTATATCACATGCCATGAATTATGCATCCTTTCTTCTGTGAGGTTTGAGCCAAAATGTCAGCTTTGGCAGCTTGGTGAAAACTGACTGTAGGTAACCAAATAAATGTATAGGTGGCCGTCTATCTTCCTGACAAAAAGTGAATATTTTATGAATTACTTGGCACATGTACAGATTTGTACAGTTGATTCATTTCACTGTAACTATTTTTTGTTAATGTAATTTAGTCTGTACATGTATAATAATTTTAAATTGATTTATTGGAGCAGCAGGTGCTCACTGTGCCCGACTGTCCTAATTGCAGAATGCAGTTAAGTGACCTGTATGATAAGGGATTGTAGGAATGTCTTTATTGATCAGTTTATGCTGTAGCAAGCAGGGGCATGCTGACTGTATAGTTTGTCCAGACAGAGTATTGCAAAAATGCCAACAGCTGTTGGGCCCAGGTATCATGGTATCCTTCCCCTTGGTGAATGTGGCCTGGACTGAGGTCACAGGTCAAGCCTTGAGGCTGGCCAGATGGAGTTGGTCAGTTCATGGCAGTTTCAGTTCACACAGTTCAATGACAAGTTGGTGAGCAGGTGTGCAGTACTGGTATGCGCTGACTACTACAGAAAAGCTTGCAGTCTCCAGGCCTTCAGTAAGGACATTACGCACTTTCATATATGCTTGGAGACAGCTCTTGTTATGTCATTAGCTTAAGGGGAATTCAGCTGAGGAGGTTAGCCTACGTGCATATATTAAGCCCCTGTCAGTTGACCCTGAAGGGGTGGGGTTTATATTTACTGCATGGGGGGGGTGGATCTGGCTCTTGAGATCTTGGCAATTTCTTTGCAAACCTTTCTTCAACTTGTCAATTTTCATCCATTAGAAGTACATCTAAAAAGTCTCCATTTAGGTTCACAGACGGGTTGTTATGATAAATTATCATTCACATTATAAATTAGTTTAATTGAGAACTTCATTTTGATTAAGCTTGCTGAATGTTCAAGGCTTATTTGCTTCTTATACGTTTAGTTTTCTGGGATTTTTTTTATCATTTGCAGGTGCCTGTTGAGCCATAACTATGTCCATCTTGGCAAGTGGTTTGTTCGTCCCTACGACAGCCTTCCTGCCTCCCCTGATTCATTCAAGTAAGACCCCCTCCCCCAGTCATTGTCTCTTTGGTGTAGGAACGAGTGACTAGTCCATTTTACTTCAGTTCCCATAGCCTGGGCAAAACTGCGCTTTATCGGTAGATTCCTGGAACCAGCATATTTCCCAGCGCCTTGTCTTCTGTGTAAGACATCGATGAGAAAATACTGGATTTGGTGTTGGGCCAAGTTGCAAAATTTATCCGTGAATGGTTCAATGCATCCGTTGCCTCACACAAAATTGAATATTGATCAGTTCTGCTCTTCCTAAGTGGTTTTAACTTCCCATATGGTGCGTTATCAATCCAAGGGGATTAAATGTCAGTGCAGTTGAATATGAATCGCTCACTCTCAGTAAACTGTGCCCTGCCAAATTGGGAACAAATTCTGCTGGTTTCTTGGAACCAGATGTATTGCATACAAACATAGCAGACTGTTGCATTTCATAATGTTATATTAAATTACTGGAGTGCTAATTTGTCAGTGCACAGGCTCCCAGATATTTTAATTCATGGGCATATTTGCAGAACTTAAAATAATGAATTCCGAATTATGTACTGTAAATACAACGTGAAGTACACCATTTGCCTACAATACACAGCCTGTTTTTAATCATTTAATTTAGCACCTGCAGGGCACGCACACACAAAAGTGTGTATTTGCCTGCAACTGGGGACCCCCTATTGTTCCTCTTTTGTTTGTACTTTAACTTTTTTACAGGACCACCCATATGTTTTGTACACAGTTGTCAATTGGGGACCCTCTGTCAATCGGGGACCTTATTGTCCTCTATTGTTCAAGGTCCCCAATTGAATGCAGAAACAAATTCACACACACGCACGTTTTTTACATTGCTTGTGTTGCTTACACTAAGCAAAACTAAATACTCATTTACTGATTGCTTTAGAATATGGATGCAGATGTGCAAAAAACCATACAAAAGCCACACAAAATTTCAGGTTTTCCATGGGTTTTTGCGCGAACATGGATACACCCAGCAGGCTTCGCTTGGAACTGCGAATTAGCACTCCATTAATTACATAGCTCCATGTTGCACATGCTGTGTAGTGCTAGACACATTGATAAAATACTGGTTCCCCAGACAACAATCTGCCCTGAGTAAACAAAGCACTAAATCATCAGTGCAGACATGCTGGTACCCCCCCTTGTCCCTCTGTGGTAGACCTGGTATGTACATGTATATGTACATGTACAATGCATGCACATGTCAGTTGCTCTGTGGATTTCCGACTGATACTTGGCATTTGGTGTGTAATAAGTGGGAAATCCAATGTTTCCTGGTAAATTAATCACTTAGTACGCAAACATTCTGGCAACAACAACATTTGTAAACAAGTGAAGTATTTGGTTGTAGGCATGCATGTCCGGGAAGGCTTCCCGACTGTCCCTCACTGAAACCTGAACCCTTTTGGTTGGATACAGCGAATGGAGTATTTATACTAAACTGGCTCTCTTTCAAATACACCTTCATGCTGCCTTTAAAATCCAATACATAAATCTCCCTGATCTGTCAAAAACCACCAGAACGTTGAAGAAGACACAAATTTTGAACCAAGTAATGTGCCAAACAAAAAAAAGATAGTTGTGTTTCTGTTCACTTCACGCAACCTTGAGAACCAAGCAGAGTCAGAATTCCTTTATTTGAAAAAAATTTACCAATTAAAAAAAAAATTATGGAGCCACACCAAGCCGGCCTACAATGTTAATATTCCTGTACATGTACACGTATGTATGTACACGTGTACACGCAAGAAACAAAATTCTTTGTCTTAAATACACTAACCTTATTTGCACAATTTCACGTAAGCTAGTCAACCAAATGGTGTAATCTATTAATCTGAGGGTTTTTGTAGGGCAATGTATTATAATTATATTATGAGCATTTTAAATGCATCTGCAGTTTGAATTGATCAGCCAGAACCTAGACTGCCGTACGTAAAGTATTTTAAGTGATTGTGTCTGCATTAATCTTTCTCCATTAATTTTTCCTTTGATGTGACCACTCGTAAAAAAAAAAATTCAGACCACGCTCCCCCATTCAACAAATCAGCCTGGCTCGACTGCTGAATTAGCCTGGTAATACATTAACGCCGCTGACCTTGTGCACTACGGCCTGGGTGCGGGTATTATGTTGACGTAGTGCATCTTCATACCGCCGGGTCGTTTTTGACCACGCATGATTAAACCAGAGGACATCTGATAGGCAGTTGCCCACCACCGCGTCAGTCATCGTCAGCCGCAGACAACCACGCCGGAGAATGGCAAATTTTGCAATCCTTTCCCAAACTGGAAGGGAAGAAATTAAAACGGCGATTGTAGGATGTTGCATATTGTATGAAGCATTAGCATATTGTAATGTTAATGGCACTTAAGCCGTACTTTCTTTGACAGGATTGCTTTTATAAGCCTGAAGTGCACTTCACCATTTGTGAGTTGCAGTGAGAAATGCAAATCTAATTGTGTGAAATCTATCCTATCCAAACTTTTTCTCATCTAGAAACAAATTTAAATGTAAATTTTTATGAAACGATAAAGCAAATATAACATCGGTATTTCTACAACTTGCTAATAACTCTGGACCAGTATTACCTCAGCCAAAATTTCATTTGTTGGTAAGCGTGAACAGAATAGTTGATCTCAGTGTACTTTTGTGTCGCTTTGTCCCCCGTTAACAGTCCAAGCACAATTTGATGAACGAAAAATTCTCCACACATGTACATGTACTTGCCCATGTAGTTGGCTGGATTTAAAAAAAATTAAATCATTTGATACAATGTTAGATCTGAATTCCACTATTGTGGCTCAAAAGATACAAACTTTTAGCTGGCTTCTTCCCCCTACCAAAAGGGATGTGGTTTCACTGATCATGAGATCAAGTGTCACAGGTTGCTGCATGATCATATCAGGCCAAGGTGATAGACTGTATTCGTTTGTCATCCATCGTGAATTGAAAGTGGGATAAATTGTTTCCTTTTGGGGATGTGAGAGTAAAAAATTATAGCAATCAAATATGACAGTTTTTGTGTAGAATTATAAAACATTTGTGATAAATGATATCCACATTTGTGAAGGTTTTAAGCCACATAAAAAAAACCTGAAAGCGAGGCTTGGAATCCCAAATAGTCTGGCACCACCCCCATCCAACATAGAGTCTGGGAACAAGATTTAAAAATGGCTTCCCCTGAATAAGGTCCATTGAGATCAGTGTGAATGCATGTACATTTTTGTACATGTACATGCATAGTTGTGCAGTACATGAACTCAGTAGGCATTGTACCCATACCTGTAGTGCAAACACTTATTTAAGTTTCACCAGCAGAGCATGACTTCGTATGTAGCTGCTAAGCAGATAATATTGCTTAGCTATTTTTTCTGTGTTAAGCAAAATAAACAGAGATTCAATATCTATTTATATACTTCGCACTTGGTAAATTGACTGGTGTCCGCTTCTGCTGCGTCTGTATACTGTATGTGTGCATGTACATATGCACATGTGTAATGTACATATACAGTGTACATGTAGCCACGTGCCTGTTCATTTCCATGTCAAGTTTACATGCACCAGCCTATTAGTTACTGCTCTTGTACGATTGCAATCAAGTTTTATGCTTCTTCCCTCTTTTAATGGCCTTGTTGCTGCAAAAACTCTTGGTTTTTTCAACGAGAATGCATCAGGTGGTCATTCAAGTTTTATTGCTGCCTTTGAATTCTGTCGGGAATCTCGCTGTGCTAGTCATATTACATGGCAGCCAAACACATATTCCTGTTTCCCACATGTCCGTATTTTTGTTATTGAAAGATGTATTTTTTTTCAAATGGAAAAAACCTTTTTTTTTGCATGTGTGGATTGCTAGATACGATTTGCAATGTTTTGCAGGGAACATGCAAAGCGATGCCTCTTCCAAAGTTGTTACATCCACATGAATATGCTTGATAAGCCCATTGCAAAACATCTCTACTCAACTGAAAAAATTAAAATGTGCTGTACATTTCATTTTCTGCTGCTCTTGCCTGACATGCTTTTTTTCAATCATACTTACTTTCATGTGATGGCTTCCCCCAAAAGTGTTCCCATGTTCCATGGCGGAATCAATGCATATTAATTATGGGCAGTCTGGATGGTTCCTTATGCATGAACCTTTTTTGGCACATCCCATTGTCACCCTCCATTGAGCCATTGGGGCCCCCCCACACTGCAGGATTCCAGTCACCTTGATAACAATACTTATTTGCATAAAGACCCAGGCAAACATCAGCACAGCACTGGCCAACAGTCTGCATCCTCTGATGTGCTTTTTATTGGTCGCTGTGCAGCCATGCATAAATGAACACTTGCTTGCATAGCGATTACAGCGCCTACGGTAAGCACTGTATACATGGAGCTTTCTTCTGAAGAAAATGATGACTTGATGTGTATCAATTCTCTTTTCCTGCCTGTAACTTTTTGATTGAAACCAAACCAAGCCATTTTGGGGGCATTAATGTTTAAGGCCGTTTCTTGTGTTCAGCTTTGACTTGAGCATGGATCACCACATTGCCAGGTTTTGGGGCTGGCTGCCTGCCTTCCATGGCCCTTGTCATGCGTATGAGATATGTTCTTTGTTTGATTTTTTCGATATATAAAGTTGGAAGGCATGCTGTTGACACGCTTGCAGTCTGTGTGACTGACATTGAATTGATACGTGGTCATTCAGTTTGACGGTATTGTGGCAGAATGAAGACATTAAAGAAATGAAAGAAACCAACATGTGCCCCCCCCACACACACACAGAACAGGGCCATACCATTCAGTTGGGCCAATTCACAGTGTCACACATACCATTGTGGTGTATGCAGGTTTGTGGAGCTCCCCTGAATGGAGTGTCATTTTTTCCATAGATCTCATTCAAATAAATTGACCCCTCTGTGCTGGTATTCGGCACCTTTCTCTGAACATCTTCTGTATCTCTGCCAAGAAGTGGCAGGGCACCAGTGCGGCATCACTTAGTGTTTTCAGTGACACGTAGGTCAAACCCAAGAGCAGGGCCGGATAGAAAAGTGTTCGGTTACCGGGCGTTATTGGATTCTCTACTTTTGCTCCCTCGCTCCTCGCCCCTCCTCCGCCACTTTGCGCTACCGTAGCACATCTATTTACAAATGGAAATTTCACTCTGCGTTAATGAGGGATCATGTGCGTGCGTGTGGATATGGCAAGGGGTTAGTGTGTGTCTGGAGGGCACTCCTGTTGTTGTTCACCCGTGCATGTTCTGGGATATAGTCGGGGCATATGGCCGTGAAATGTATACATGCTTGGGTGTTAAGATATCTGCGGCTGTGATCTGGGCCCAGAGGGAGGGTGTGGTTTTGGTGTATATGTGGGCTGTCAAAGCCGATTCCCGATTCAGAGAAGTGTCAGTTTAAAACATTTTGACAAACCTGAAATAGACAATGGTGCCGCAGATAGGATAGGATCTTCGTTTCATGATTTTATGACAATGACATTGACATTGTCATCAAAGTAGAATGGACAACGAAATCAAATGGGTTAGTGTTGTGGAAAATTTATTGAGGAGCCAAAACTTTGTTTTCAGTTTTTTCCACACGCCTGCACATGTACAGTACTCATGTACTTGATTACTGTTGAAAAAAAAGGCCAATCAAAAAGAGCCCTAAGTAATGCACCTTAATCATGTTGCAGAAAGACTTCCTTTACAAATTTGATGTATATAAACTTTTGCCCCTTGAATTTTGTCACATCAAATGCAAAATGGTGAATAAGGTCATCCAATTGGAACATTTGCAGAATCTTTTTGTTGAAACAAAGGAGAATGGTTGTAACCGCGATACGAATGACAGGAATAATGATTAGTGTTCAATTAAAGGGGTATAAATAAACTGTGTTCTGCTAAGGTGTATGTAAATTTTTGGGCAAGACTGGAAGCCCTTTTAATTTAAAAAAAAAATGACTTGCCATTGGTAAAATCACAAAAATGGGACTACCGAACATCTCAGTTGAGAGAAAGCAAATAAAAGCCTCAGTCAGTTTATAAAGTATTTCCACGCAGAATGTTCTCCTTTTCAAGAAAATAGAAATGTACTTTTTTTAATGATGGTCAGCCAACCATTGTGAAAAATACATTTCATTTGAAGCATCACACTCGTTTACGGGCGTCTGGTGCAAATATTTTGTGTGTGGTGCATGTGGCTGTCAGAGGAGTCTTGATAAAATGGCAATACTAGAAACCCAAAACATGAAACAGGTCCATGGAATAATAGTTGAAGTAAATCACATACCCAACAATGGGCTTATCTTGTATAATTACTGCTAAAAGTCAATGATGTATTCCACCTTTAAATAGTTCTTGTTAGTCTTCCATTTCCCTCCCCCCCTTGCATCTTGCGAATGAGTAATTTCTTGACATTTTTGTGAAACCCCACACCATCTTGTGGACACGAAATTCAATTTATGCAATTCCACAAGGATGGCTGACGTCAACATGAAGGTTATGTGGTTCCTTGGAAGTGACGGTGTGCCCCGACAGCCCAACGCAACGCACGCTGCCCCATGTCATTGATTTGGTAAACATTCAGAGCCTGGAGGAACTGCTAGTCTGCAGTGCCCAACGTGACACAGCACAGTCCCCCCTCCCCCTCCCACAATCTGATAATGAACTTGTGTGCTTTGCATATTCACGAGATCCCTAAGCACACAGGTCATGCATAAAACATCCGAGAAGGCTTGGCACCGGTGTGTAGATGTACATGTCTGGATTATTCAACTGCGCTCTGTGCATTATGCATTTCAGATGGCATTGAATGTACAATGCTGATAATTCGAAAGACACAAGTTGTACACTGCTGTAAACCGTTCTGTGATATCTTTTGTGCCAGGTGTTTTTTACATGTACCAGTACACGTACATGTACCTGTACTTTTGCAGTGTACTTATTGATTATTTTGTTCAGTTGACCATTGTTGTAATTTGTCCAAATAAATGTACAGTGGATTGGTAATTACATGTCAGTTGCACGTATAAAAACATATGCATGTAATGTCCTTATAATAAAATGCTGTGTAAGATAATTCTTAAATTAATAAACCCCACTACATTTTTAGATACTGCCAGTAGATAATTTCAGAAATAAAAGATTTTAAAAAAAATTTGAGGGCTGCAAAAAACTTGTCAGACTTATTCCAAAGTTCTTGAAACATATTCCCGAAGTAGTTAGATTTCGAGTAGGTTTTACCTTTCCTCCGAAAAATTGTTGGTCAGAGTGCCTTGAAATAAAAATGGAAGTGTCTTTGTGGCTAATCTTGAATGCTTTTGGTATTTAGAGGGCCTGACATTTCTATCCCAGCAGAATCTTTCTTAAAGGTGAAATGACTTTGAGAAAGGCATTGAATGCCGAGGGTCGAAATGTCAGGCCCTATAACAATTTGAACACAGGTTGTGGAAAATGGTTTGCAGCGTGTTCAAAAGATGCCTAGACCTCCTTCCAGCTTACGAATGAAATGTTGTCAAAAAAAGAAAAACAAAACCAAATGAACTGCAGAGGAAAAAAATGAAATTTAAAAAATGGCATCACTGATTTTTGATGTTGGCTCTCTTTCTCTTTGCAGTGACCACCTGTCCTTTGCCTTCAGTTTCTTCCTCCATGGTGAGAGTACAGTCTGCGCCAATGTGGAGGTTGCCCTCCACCAGCCTGTCTGCAGACTGTCACTGGACCACTTGGCCCTAGCACAGGGCTCCGCCACTGGCTTTCAAGGTAGGGCTCCTCCAAGGGGAAGGTAGAGAGTACAGAGAGAGTGAGTTCTAGAGGAATTCATTTCCTGGCTCCGAAAAGTCAAGGAGGATCAGGAAATATCGTCAAAGTCCCTGCCAAAAGTTTTGATGTTTGGGACTGGCCCACAGGATTGTTTGTGGATAGCGTTCTAGCTTTTGTTTTGATTTTTTACCTTAACTGCCATTTTGATTGGCATGTCCTGGGGTTGTTTAATATAAGGGGAAAAATTTATTATCATTGAGTTGAAGTTTTTGGCTCAGAAATATCAGCCAAGAGCCAGTGATTCCCAGTATGCAGCACGTGATGATTTGGCGGATGTGAGTTTTGTCCACTATTCTGAAATGTTCCATGGTTGGTGTCATGCCAGCTCACTGTCTTCAAGAACTTTGGCCCAGTTCTTGCCCTAGTCAGGACCATCTCAGTGACCCTTTTTTCCCTTCTGTTTTGCACATTTAGTCATTCTCTCTCCGTACGGTCTGAGCGGTGTGCTGACCGGCCACTCCTACAAAGCGAGTCACTCTGCTAGTCGGCGAATCCTGAATGAGTGGCACCACTTCTATCCAATCAAGTTTCAGGGGGATGAGGAAAGCAGGGACACGCCCTTGGATGAGGACAGCCTGGAAGATGGCCTGCCAGCTGTTGTCGATGTCCTCGTTGGTAAGTTTAGCGTGAGGGGGAGTCTCACCTGACAAACCCATAATCTGACCAAGTTTGGAATCCTGTGTCTCTTTCCCCATGTTGACAAGTGCAAGTTTCTGACAAACTGACCAGCTGAAGATTTTATCCAAGCCAGTGGGGATCTTGCCTGACCAGCTTGGGACACCTACCTGGGTGAAGTTGAACATGACTCATTTGACAAACTGGTCCACACCGATACAGTTTTACACTGTATCGGTATGCAGCCAGAACCTAACCTCACAAAAGTTAATTGATGGCTAAAATAAAAACAGGAAACTCAACAGTTGACTGACACAGAAGGCATTTCATCACCCAGCAGAATGCCATTAGGCTGGAGAAGCTTTGCTCACTCTTGCTGCAGAAAGGAAAAAAACAGAAAAGATTGGATTGAAGTTTTTTGGTGGTTAACCCTCAGGAATGGCAAACTCAGTAAATGATATAAACTAACATTCATTTTTGATTCACTACTAAAAATGTTTAGGATATTACTCGGTGGCTTAATTCTCTGATGCTCAGCAGAAAAAACAAGACACCCCATTGTGACATTCTCCCCCCCCCACCCTTGTCTGCCTTTCCCCCTTGTGCACCGTGACTCAGAATTAGGCCATGCCTCCGTTGCGGAGACCCAGAGTCATACTGCTTAATCGCTCCCTGATTCATTTGATCCGGTGGAGGGGGCCCCCTTCCCAGCCTTGACAATCAGAGAGAGGAACAATCTCGGCCGCAGCCGCCGGTAAGCTACAGGTTGTCAAATCCCCGCTCGCTGTCTCAGCCGCGTCCCAATTACTCAGCAGTGGTTGGATATCACATGGGTTGTACTGAAAGTGCAGTAAGCTGGGAGCTGGTGTTGTCGGCTGCAGCAACTGAAGCCCTTATTTGGGGGGGGCAAAAATGATGTATTCCCGAATCCCATTTTTAGATCAGGTGACATTTGGGGCTTAAGGTTATTCCAAGTGACCATGACATGCTTTTGCTATAACAGTGGTGCTAAGCCCTGCATTGGAACAACTTCAAATGTAAAGTAGCATTATTTTTTTTTACTTCTGTGCAAGTGAATAAATTTAATGAAGAAGTCAACCTTGAAACGATAGATACACTCAAGTGCCATTTCTCAAGAAATTGATCCAGTTGCCCTACTGCGATATTTTTAAATACATCGTAACCTTACAACTTTTTGAAAGACCCGCAAGTTTACTTCTGAATTTCAAAGCATTTGTGCTTTAAAGGCTGCAACCCACCTTTCAAAACAAAAGCAACATGTCTTTAAATGTTCAATGCGCTGGTTACCACCAATTTTAAACATGTTTTGGATGACATCATTTATCAGTTACATTTAATTGAATGATGTGTGTACCTTTATTGTCAGTCCTAGTTGAGAAGTAATGCTCTTTAGAGACCAGAGGCATGGTTTTTATTCCTTGTTCCTTTCGAGTTCTGTCACATCCCGTCTGGAGTGGAGGAGGTTGGGCATGGGGGCTACCTTCCTCCGTGCTTGACAAGCCACAGGTGTCGCACCGGACAGTGAGCACCTGGCCCTGTAATGTTAATCGTTTCCTTTCCATCTTCAAATGATATCCATTCCATTCAAATAGTCAACAAGCACTGTAAAATTGGCTCTGCTGTGAGTCTAGGTAGTATGGCTTCATCCACCTGCGGCCCACAGTTAACCTTGGGGAAAAAACCCAGAATCTACATGTGAAGTAGAAAGATGCCTTTGTGTGTATTACCCTTTAACAGGAAACCGGGTAGATCGACTTGTGGTGACTGAGTTTCCTCGAGGGAGGGAGGGGGGGAAGAGAGACACAAGTAAAGGCATGCAATTTGCCGAGTGACAACCATGGTAGCCCAAACACTGCAAGGGTCCCATCATCTTTTGTCGATAATTTAGCCTCTTCCGTGGCGTGTTGTCCCAACAAAGTCATGAATCCATGCAATGGAATGAGACAAAGGTGCCAGGCACAGATCGGGGTTGAGTTCTTGCTGCGTTACAGCACTGGAGTGCTGTTACTATTTTGGAAAGAGATGGGGGGGTGGGTTCGGAAAGCAGTGTATATTTTTGGGTTGCCGTAGAAAAGCTTGTCATTATTTGAGTGAAGACCTTTAGTGACAAGACCACTCATTCCACCTCAGCAAACTGGGTTTGTGAATTGCCCAACCCTCTGCACTTGTGATCACATGGTTGTGGGTTAGAGTCTCATCTGCGCAGGCTTCTTACATGTATGTGCCACCAGACACTGTCAGACAGCACTGACTCGAGAGTGTTCATAGAATTGAATGCATTGGTGGTGCAAGATTGCATCAAACCTTCTCATTGAATGTTAATGTGTAATACACATTGCAAGGTCATGGGAGTATCTTAGAAGTGACAGAAAACAGTCCCAGCGATCTGCTCTGAATAGTAGTGTTTTTTTTGGTACTCACCATAAAGGCGCGCAAGTATTTTCGCGTTTGACGCAAAGCACATTGAGTAGGCATAACTAATTCATGCCGGCTTGTATGGTCTTTGCGTACACACAGAATGCATGCAAGAACCCGTTTGTAACCACCTGTCTTTTTTTCGCCCACTGGGGGCGCACTTCAGCTTAAGGTGGATAGTAGATAAGGGTAATTTGAGTAGAGTTTCTTGAGTTCTCAGTTCCTTTACCCCTAACCCTTCAGGCAGTCCAGATCCTCCAAATCCAATGTGAGGTTTAGAAGATTTTCACAGGAGTGGAGAAGGGAGAGCCAAGTAATGGTACTCCCCGCAGGGCTTGATGTCCCCGAGAACGTGTAGATTCAAAGGATATGTCACTAGGGGAGGATCTTGGCGGATTGGGAAAATTCCAAGCAAGAATGCCAGTAAATTGAGAGTTCTGTTACATGCTATACATGTATCTTAATATAAGACCCCTTCCATGCAGGCAGGTCCAAATATCTTTAAGTGTGTGTCCACTGGTTGGATGACTCATCTTGCTGGGCTGTAGTGTCGGCAAGGCCTCTGACCCTCCGTCCACACAGGAAAAGGACTCGCTCAACACCTTTGCAAGAATTCCTATTCCCACCTTCAAAAAGAAAAACAAAAGAAAACAACTCTTTCCATACTGCTTGATCAATCAGCGTTTCCCTCGCACCTGCATTGGCACGAGTCAAGTAATTGATCCATTAATTTTGCATATTTTAACTTAGTCCCCCCTTCCCTTTTCTGAATTATTTTTCTTTTCTAGCCGGAGTGCGCATGCTGTACCCCACTGCGTACGTCCTGGTACCTCAGAGCGAAGAGATGGCCCATGTTCCCATCGCACCCATGCCGGGGACCACCTATCTACCCCCTCCCCCGGTTCAGAATGCCGGAGCCAGGATACATGGCATCACAGCAGCAGGTTGGTGGACCTTCTATTACACTGTGATCACACTGCTCATTCAGAGCAAGTTTTCATTCATTCCAGGAGCAATTGTCTAGGGGAACCTATCATTAAATATCAGGGAAGTCAAAATCAATTGAAATCTTCAAGCTTAAACTGACTGAGATCAGCCCTTCATTGATAGCAAGGGGGGAGGGAACAAAACTAAATGTTTATTTTCCAGCCACCTTGTGTCTGCAGCATCCCTGCGAAGAGACTGTAGTAAAAAGTAGAAGTTTTATTTTGTTTAAAAATGATAGAGTTGCAGGGTATGCACCTTTATACAGCAAATCTAGAGTAACTTTGTTCCATTGATATTACTTGTATTTACATTTCAAGTAATGTCTTCAACAAGGGGAATCTGGGAGGAGATCTACCTTTAATTTCTGCCATCAGTGGCTAAGCTCGTTCAAGCAGATATTAGAAGGGCTGCAGTCATGACAGTGAAGCGTATCACAGGTCCCGTGGGTCATGCCCATCACCGTTACCAGTGGAGCTGCTGTGTAGGGGTGGGAATCTGTGCTCACTGTCGCGGGTTCTGTAAGTGGCGCAAAGGCTGTTCAGTGGAGTGGGGAGGTACGTCAGATGGGGGCGGCAACTGGCTTACCATGCCATCGCTCCACTGAGGCATTTCACGCACCCAGACGCGGATTAGTAATCCAGCTGTATTTAATCCATTTATGCGAGTGATGGACCTCCCTTGTCCAACGTGATACTGGAAGGTCAGATCCGCGCTGACTGAGATTTGTCTTGACACCAGGACAAAGTTGAAAAATTGTCTCTAAGTTTCTGACTTGTATTTATCTGTACTTGAATGTTATTTATTGATACAGATATTATACATGCCTAACTGCCTAATTGCGTATTCACTGCATTCACTGCCTACATCTCCTGTGAAGGAAATAACAGGCAGATCCGTTTTCCATTAGAAAATCAATTATGAGAAAAACAGCTGTAATTCAACAGCCATATGAAGTCTTCTCTCTACATGCCTTAGGCCATGCTGGGAAGCCGTCTTCGTTCCTCCCAGTCAGGGAGTAAGACAGTTGTGAAGTTACTTTAAACTAGTAAAATTAAAGCCCTCATTCAAATGACTTGAGAGGCTGTTGATGTATTTTTGTCCAAACTTTTGGAAATTGGTCCTACTTAATGATAATTCCTACCTCCCCCTCTTTCTTTTCCTTGTCCATTTTTTATCAACAAAAATCGATACCGTTCATTTCATTCGCCAAATTACTCCTGATGCTTTTTTCTTCCGCCAGCCATGTCCTCAATCTCGCTAACTCCGCCCACCTCCCCACCTGACCAGCCATTGCCAGGTGAGGCTAAGATCACCATGGTGTCATCGGGTGTGTACGCGAGTGCCCCGGACCCGGCCCTGTTCCCCGCGGAGTCGGACCTGCTGTCTCCACAGATGCTGGCGGGTCGCATGGCCGGCAGGCTGTGGCGGGAGCTGACGGTGCCAGCCCCCGAGGTGCCGTCATCGCAAACGGTTGCGTAAGTGGCCTGTAGATCACTCCTAGAAAGCTCATGAGTCGCAGGGTTCCAGCTGGCAAAATCTTAAATGGCAACCAAAGTTCTAGCCAGAACGTCCTTTCATAAGACCTTTCACAAGTAGCATGGTGAACAGTGACTACGGACTGTTTTTGACCCTGTTCAGTTGAATTGCTTATAACTTGACTTGCAGCCAGATGGTTTGTGATGGACTTGGGATGTTCTTTCAGGGGCTTATGATGGATTCAACTAAACCACTGTTTGGCTCTTTTTTTCCCCGCCAAGTACATGTGCTTTTGTGAAGTGCCATTATTTGACAGTGGTAACATGGACAGCTGGAACCCTGAGTCAGTGCTTTACAGCTTACTGATCAAAGGGAGTAGCAACTCTGTCGCTCCTGTGGCACGTGGCCTATTCATGATGTTTATTTGTCAATATCATGATTTTCATTTGAGACTCTTGGTTGTTTGGGTGATTCAGTTTGCCATTGACGGACCATGACGTGGACATGTTGGCATAGATCAAACCAGTGAAAATTGTATCTGTTTTTTTTTTTTTCTGTCGAATGTGCATGTTTAACACAACTTTTCTCATATGCAAGGGGCATGCCCTTGCAGAAGGGGAAAGTTGCCCCCAGATCAGGACCATGTTTGGCTCAATGTGGCTTGGGCTTGTGGTGGGACACAGCCATGTGCCTCTGCTACTGTGAGCATGAAGAGGTAATTCCCATGGCTGCAGCAAGACACAAGACCGGTGTGCATGTTATCAATATACTCCAAAGAATTACTAATTAAATTACTAATGACAAGTCCTTATCAAATGTTGCCTTGCTGCGAGGGGAACTTTCCCAGAAGATTTTTTTTTCTTGAATTTCCTCCCTCAGCCTAAGCTGCTCATGCTTATAGCAAACCACTTGTCACTGATTCATCATCGCCTTGCCTTCATCAACCAGACACGCCCTTCACTGAGTTTTGTTAACTCCAGTTGTGTCACAACTAACCCCCCTTTTGATTTAACAGACTCAGACAGTCAAGAAATTCCCTCCACTTGATTTACCACAGTCCACAGACACATGGGAATCATTTTGACTGATTTTGACTGATAGGACAATTTTGTCAAATATAGATCTTTGCATTAGGAGGGTTTATTTTAAGGTTTGAGACCAGGTTTCATTTGCAAAATTTGTGATGAGAGTCAAGTGAGGGTCAGGCTGAGACGGCAACTTTAAAGGACAACTAGCGAAAAAGGTTGGATTCTAAGAACTTCTCAGGAAAGCCTACTTTAGTGTCGGAATGAGCTTGCAATAAAAGAAAAAATACAGCATGTGAAGATGGACCAATAAAGGTGTCGCCTGAAGTTATACATGTATTTCTGTCTCCTAGGGCAGCTTAGTGGAAAATCCTAAAGCCAGTTTTTAACCTGGATCTTCTAGATTCTTCCAAATCCACCCGGAGATTTGGTAGGATTTTTCATCAAGGCCTTTCCCAGTCACTGTTACTTTACATGGAGCCTGATGCTTTGGAAAATGTTAATACCTAGATTACATCCTTGGTTTCCTGAACAATGGAGGATTTGGTTGAATTCTGAAAAGTTGTTCATGAAATGCATAGATGAATCGGGATCAAGGGGAAAGTACAGTCCTGTGCTGGAAACAAAATCTTCCCATGAGATTTGTTCCCGCTCATGAACTCTGACCTGTGAGCGTTTCTCATTTTCCCCTTGACTACTGGCAGTGCCCCGTCAGTGGATTCCAGTGTGCTCCCGTCCGAAGATGGCTCGACAGCAGCAGCGACGGTGCCAGCAGCCGAAACCAGGAGCACGGCCACCAATACCACCGTCACCTGGGACTTCAACGACCCCAGTACCCGGGCCAACTGCAGCTGCTCAAGGTGAGAACGAGGCGGAATGCCATCCCTGATGCCACTCATGCAGATTTAAGGCCAGTGTTTATGACTCTTCATGTGGTGTCAATGTAGTAAACAGTTACGCATGCACAAGTAGGTCTTTTGTTCCGTACACACGCATGTTTGAGAATTTTACAGTGCCTGAATATATCCTCTTCATCTCACTGGGTGGGTCATTAATCATGTGTCATGAATTAATGGTTTCAATACACAGTATGGCATCTAGGCTAGAATGGAATGATCCATTCTGCATGTAATTTGATTGACTATGTAACTATTAGCACAGTTGCAATATTTATAAAGCTGTAGCAATGCTCCCAACATGATATGAGCGGATTTCCTCAGTGAGGATTTATTCAGGTAGTTTAAAGGATTTTGCAGGATTGGTGTAGCTGTTAAGTGTTAAAACAGTTCATGTTTGCGCCATACGGTTCTGTGACAGAGGACTCTGTCTTTCAACTCGGCTTTTTCTCACGGAATGGAACAGTCCATCTATCGCATGAAGTTACTACCATTGCATCCCTGAACAGTCATTGTTTGTTCATATATCTGCCTGGAGCAGAAGCACGCTGTCATCAGTGTTCATCTTGTTTTTTGGCGACATGACTGCAAAACATGAACCAGCAAAATTGCGCCCTCTCTTAGTCTCGCTGGGGGCGGATACTGTCGCACTCCTATCACACTTGCAGCACACTCTCGCATTTGCAGCTGTTTCAATGTCAGAAGTTCAGATGACATCTCTCCTAAGCTTGCGTGATTAGAGGTCTAGTTTCCAGACCGATACAGACCCAAGGGTATTTTTAAATGGAATGTGAGTGGTGTAAGTGCACCAGGTAATACCGGGTACTGTACGGCGCAGTCTTGGCTCAACTGTAGCCACACAGCCGATGTGTTGAGTCATAATCCCCTGCACTCTCTAGCTGTTCAAACACATTATTCCTTAGTCGTGTCACTTTTTTGTGTAAGAAAAAAAAAGAAAGGGAAAAAAGGATTTAAACACTGACCTATTTGGCAGCTTCTTGTGAGACCCAAGTATTGAAATTTTCTGTGGATTTCATAAGGAACTCGGTAGATCCATTGATCCTGTGGCATGGAAAAGTTGGATGAGTGTAGCACACACTGAAAACAAATCTGTACCACGCTGTGTAATAGCATGACACCAATTGGGAATACACATCAAACGGGCTTTGGTTGCATACCACTTGCAAGGTGTCCAGGACTGACTGAGGATTCATTGTTTGCTGTCAGTTTGTCAGTGTTGCCACATGGTCAAATATTCACAAACTTGAGCCGTGTATTGAGCTGCTGGAAAGACAGTCTTTGCCAAAAAAAATGTACATGTACATGTAGCTGAAACTTTGGGCACCGTTTCAAAATGTGCCGGCTGATGCTCTGCAGGTTTTGTCCATCCTTTGTAGTGAAATGAATTTGAAAGAAAAAAAATCAAACCAAACGTTGGTGATAAAGGAGGAAAGTCTGTCAAGGATCATTAACTGTTCAGTGGATAGACCATGAATGTTTTCTCTTCTTTGTGTAGCATCAAGGGCAGATCACAGTTTTCCTGGGAATATCTGGGGGAAAAGTGAAAGCCAACTGTGGAATTACAGGTCTGAAGACTTTGGCAGACTCATCCCTTCAGTATTTACAGTTTTTATGAAATATTTTACTTGACATGTATTCCCTTAAATTCCATGTCCAAATGCATGTTAAATGGCAGACGAATGTATCTCGAATGTAGAAATGCATATCCCTATCATATAACGAACACTTGGCAACACTTCCTTATTGCATTTTCGTGGGTCCCAGCCGGAAACATTTTGGGTTGTAACTCAACAGATCTGACACACAGGAAGTGAATATGTCACCTCCATGTAGAGGTCCCGCAGATGCGTCTCCGTCTGTTTGCCCCTTTAAGTTGGGCCGGAGAAGGCCATGTTGGAAGGGATAGGGCTGCATCTCTGCTATGCAGCTTGTGTCTGCAGGGTCCTTCAAGTGGGGTTTTTTGGGGGGGTCTCATCCTCAGTCTGTGGCTATCTGTGGCTTTTCTTGAGTCTGCGTGCATTCTGTCTGTGTTTCTTGTGGTATATATTAGGTTGGCTCATTTCCAGGGGTAGGAGGATGCCGTGATACAAAAATTGATACATCTACATGAACATATATGGGTCATTCCATGAAGTTGGATAAGAAAGTGTGACAGATTCAAATTCGCTCATTTTTCATTTTCCTCCCAAGTTTTGACACATTATTGACTGTGTTTCTCATAACTAATAACACTTTTGCAATAACTATGGCAGACAAGGAAATACTCAGGTATTACGCATTATGCAGCGGGTTGTGGATGTAGCATGGAAACCACACAGTTTCAGCATAGATTTCTCCAACTTGTCCAAAGTAGCAATATTATGACAATTCATTTGTTAAGTTCCAAACATTGACAAGTATCCAACAAAAATAAAACAATAAAGAAGGGAATATACCGCAAGAACAATTGTCAAGGTAAGTACATTAACTCTTTTTGGGAGACTTTCCGGACCAAGTACCGTGCAGTCGGGCTGAGCATTTTCCCCGTATTCGGTAGGCGTGGTAGGGTTCAAATGAAGTGTAATCTTTGTGGCCATATACGGATGCATGGATGGCAATACTTGTGTTGATCTTGACCATATTTATCCCTGATTATACTCAAAATACACTGAAAATATCACGTCAGATTTCACAGAAAACAGTGCAAAAACCTTAGCACCTTTGTTTACAATTTCTCAGCCTGAATGTTGCCAAAATCCTGTCCCAGTGCAGGTTGTGAATGGGGGAACCATGGCCTGCCGGCCTGCACGCACCACGTTGCGTTCGCTAGTACGGTTCCTTACAGAGCAGAATCGCTTTACCATTAATCCTTGAGGGATGTGTGGAACTAGATGTATTGGCAACAAGACCATACCATGTTTGACCTGTAGTGGCGTGTACCATGTCCTTTTTTTATGTTTAGATAATACCGTCACTGAAGTATGCAAACTGGAGTGATTGCTTAACTATAGCTGGTTAACATTTTGGGTTTGAAAATGTGCTCAAAACCTGTTTATATTAGAGTTCAAGGGGATAGCGGTACCACCCCTATTATTACATCATGGTAACGGGCTAACGGTCATTACAATAACAAGATCTAGATGGAACTTGGAAACAGGCGGAGTTTTTTCCAATCAGATGTAAATTGTAAATAATCAGAATTTACCAAGCCTGAGCACACTACACATGTTTCAAATTTTAAGGATTATTTCTTTCTACGATCCTGTACTTCGAAATCAGTGATACCGGCCTCTAATGGCCGAATTTACTTCCGACAAACTTAGGGTGGTGTAACTGCGTCATGGATGTAACGTGTGGAAACTCCGTGTTTGGCAAACGGGAAAATACATGCCTGACGACATCGGGCATGTGATGTTTTGTTTGGCGAATTCCTAGCAAGAGCTGTTGAAGCACGGAAGAATCCATTTCCAACAAGGGGCGTACTCCGCCACGTCACAGAACACCAAGGGTTTTGGATGCAACAGAATGGCTGGGGAAACCACGCTCGGCATCCTGGCAAGAACAAATTGTTTCTTTTGAACTAAAATACAGCAGCGAATGCCAAGTTGAGAAAAAGGACATCTGGTTGTAGTGTTCAAACCGTGGTGATGTAGCTCGCAATTATTTTCCAGGTCCAAAAAACGAACTCCTGTTTCGGACGTAACGTGACTGTTTGAGTGTGGAAACCACATGTTACATCCGTACCCTCGAACAAAACAGGTTCACTTATGAAGGTGGGGTAGTTAACATAAACTATGTAGTGACCTGTCAAGGGTTGATATACACGTAGGTGTGAACATGTTAAACATATGGCAATGTTTACATTTACTTTCAACCCACTCTCGTCATTTTTTAAATGCCCATTTATTTTGTCACCAAAAAAATGGTTTGACATATCCGGAAACCACTTTTGTGCTTAATGCTGCAAACAATGTTTCCGCAAATATGAACAAAATGGTTCAACAATATACCTCGATATGTGTTCTTTTTAAATGAGTTAAATTTAACTGGCTAATTATTTGAGTAGCTATGTGATTTACTCCAGACCGTAGGCAAATAACCAGTTGTTCCCCAACTTCATGGAATGACCCATATGTGCTGGAGCCAATACCAGCATATACATGTAGATGTATCAATTTTTATATGATCATGAGTTTGTGTTGTTTTGTTACCTCTGGAAGGAAGGCCAATAGTTAACTGTGGAAGGCTATACACTTCCTGGAGCAGCTGTGATCCAGTTGCAACGTTCATAGCTTCCTGAAATGTAATTGCCTAACTGCGACAACACTGTCCGTATGCCCAATAACAAAAATAATGTGCCCGAAATAAAAAAAATTGCACCATGAAAAAAAACTTTTCCTCGACGTTACTGGCAGTGGCCTCCAGTGGATACTGGGGTTGGTGCCACCAGAGTAATGTGTGATAAGGTTCTTATTTTCCACAGGCAGTTTGAGAAATTGGAGGGGTGTAGTAGGGGAAGGAGGTCCATTCATCACCAAACCTGGACATGGGAATTATTCTGGTCCGGGGGGAGGGGAGGATGGGGGATACTGATGTTTGTTTTGTGGCACCTGTTTTTTTTATGTTTGTCATGAGATCGTTTCCAGGGTGACTGGAGTCTTGTTGGCTCCGTCGTTGCCAGGAATAGCTCCGTGAAGATGGAGGGGGGAAAAGGGTGGAGGTTCCAGGGGAGGGGAAAGGGTGGAGGTTGCAGGGGGGAAAGGGCTCGGCGGCAAACAGCCCGGGGCGCAGTTTGACCTTTGAGATAAGCCATGTGGTCTGTGTGTTTGCACCTAGGACCTACTCGACATTGTGAAGTGTGAATTTGTGCACACGTATGCATCCATTCAGGTAAAGGTGGCACCGACAGTGCTGGATGAGTGAGGGGGGTGGCGTACGTGTGGCGATGCTGATATACCGGCAAACGAAAGGGGCTTGGAGAACAAAGCAAAGGTTTACCTGTAGGATCTCCTGTGTGCAATTGGATAAGGCTGCTTGAAGAAATTCAAGTTGTGGCATTGCTTCTCCATAGGCAAAAACCTGAATCTTGGGGTGTAGAAAGGGGATACAAAAAACCACTTCACCTTGTCCAGTTTGGTGACCTCTGGTTCTTTCTTCTTTGCCTTTTTTGCCACAAACTCTTCCTGAAACCCAGCTGAGGAAAATATTCTGCACCTGCAGCACGCATAAGAGGCACTGCCTGTCATCTGATCTCATCAGTCTATCAAAAGGACTTCCAGCTTTCTGAATCGCCATGCATTACTCTTAATCTGAAGATCTAGATCTAGACTTGAATCTAGATCTAGACTTGAATCAAAGTCACGAGGTCATCTGAGAACAGTCTTTTCTGTGTGCTGGCAGTGTTGGATGAATGTGGGAAGTTGGGGCCCAGTCCTGATTTCAGTGTATTTATTTTGCTTGTTTCACAAGTTCAGTACAGGAAATAACGCAGGAATTTTTTTTTTCCGGTGGTGTTCATTACCATGCCACAGAGCTGTGTTCGCAATAAAAACCTAGGAATCTTGTCACAAGTCTGTTCATGACTTCCTGAGAGTTCAAAATGTTAAAACTAGAACAATTGATGATTTCACCCTAATGCCTAAGTGACCCCAAACTGTCCCTTGTTCCTTCCACTTGCTTATAGCTCTGCACATTTTTTAGGGCAAAATGCGATGGTAATATTTTTGTTAATGGTTTTGGTGTGCATATTGCAAAAACTGAACTGTGACAGATCCCATAAAGGCATGCTAAATAAAATTATAAATTGTGTGATTTCAACTTTCTCTTTTGGCCATTGACCTTTATAGAAATTTGCCATCACTAAAGAATTTCCCTCCAGCATGAAACTGTTCAAAATTTTTGATTAATTAAATTGTTTGTGTTTGGAAAGGCATAGCTGAGTCAGGTGACACCAAACATGATTATTGTCAATGTACATGCACTCAGCTACTTACAATCCCTTCACATTGTCCCGGAAAAAGTCCCACCAGTTCTTACTGCACCATGTGAGTTCAATTTCTGTTGTCCAGCCACTGGTCAGTTTAGTTTAAGCTAGTGGATTGCCTCATTGTAAGTATCGAGTCTTGTCCAACTAACAGCCTTAGTCCTTCCCTTTTTTCATCTGCGATCCTAAAAAAATGTCGTCAGCCTTCTTTAAAGACTCAGTTTCCTGATTCGTCCAATATTATGCAAAATGGTGCTTTGCTTTTCAAAAGGAGAGGGGGCGGAGTGTTACAAAATCATGGGCGTGTGCTAGGAGAGTGGAAGTTTCTGATTGCAATGCATCCTGTTTGCATTTTTTTGGCCAGCCCGGTGGCCAAGCAGGAAGCTGAACTAAGCCCATTTGACAGGTTACTGGGCAATTTTTCACATTCAATGCTTTAGGTTTTTTGAAATCGGTAGCCATGTTTTTGTTATAAGGTTGACTGACTTGCCAGAGAGTGTCCTTTGCAGTGCATGTGGCACGTGACATTGTGATCATGTCATTCGTCAAATTGTTTTTGCTCAAGTTTGACAACTTGCCCACACATGCTGTGGAGACATTGGTTTTTTTTAATTGCAGTTTCTTTACATTAAAATAGAAAACTTATTTTCTGTTATTTATGGTCATGATCACAGAGCTTGCATTTAGTGATTACTACTACCATCGAGTGACAAATCCGAAATAAAGAGGTATTTTGGAGGCATACAAATTACAGTATTCAACCAAGGTATTCCTATGCCTTTATTTAATATGTACCTTATCTGTTACCATATAACCCGAAGAAAGACAATACCAACTTGCAGCAAATTTTCCACTCACCGGTAAGTTCAAGTTTCAAATAGCATTAACAGAAATTGACTGAATCTTGGTGTTGTGTATTCTTAGGGTGAAATTGTACAATTTTGACCTTTTTGCAGGCAAAAGTCATTGAAGCAGAAGGGAGGTTTGGCTTTCAGTAAGTCCCATCCCTCCAGTCACATGAGCAGCAAGCACTCCAAGTCAGACTCCAAGCAGGAGCGTCAGCAGCGCAACCAGCGGCCTGTCACGCCATTCCACCACCGCACCATCACCTGTGAGGATATCCTGGCCCTGGAGCAGGAGGCAGTCAACCAGCGGCTTGCTGCCCAGCAGAGTGCCCTGCCCAGCCTGCCGGCCGGAGCAGCCACAGGCCAGGCCCAGCCCCAGCCTTTGCAGCAGCAGCAGCAGGACAGCAAACTCACCCAGGGCAAGTTTACCCAGCCCAGCCCGGCTGCCTTCCGCCCTATGGGGCCCGTTGACTCGGTGCTGACCGAATCACCGCCCTCTGTTGTCCCCTCGCCCCTGTTGCCACCACCTACAGGTGCCACCACAAGCGCCAACGAGAGAACTATGCCCGCACTGAGCCCTTACCCTCCTCCCAGGAGTGGGAGTGATTCGGGAACGCCCACGGCCACCAGCGCGCCGGCCATCTTCGCACGGTCGGATGCAATTCCTGTGAACCAGGACCACCCGGACGGGCTACCGGTACCGCCCATGATGGGGACCGCCCAGATGATGGACTCAATCCCCAGGGGGATGGACGCTCACCTGATGGCCGAGCATCAGAAAGAGGAGCGGGAGGAGGACCCATTGTGGCAGTGCTTCAAACTTCCCAGTGGATTGGACTGTAAGCGACCCCTGCTGCCTGCTCAGTGTTACGAGTTGGACGATGCAGATGGCGGAGGTTGGGATGCACTCTATGAGATGGACAATAACATCGAGTGAGTGTTAGCTTCGATACTTTGTCCTGATAGTGTTGATGTGATACACAAGTCCACCTTAAATTCTAGACATGTGAAGGGTTTGTTCGTCAAAAGAGATGATTTTCACACCTGAAGACTTGGTACTATATCAGTGAGCGTGAGCAGATGGGTTTCTTGTTCATCGGCAGAGATGAGCAAAACTTTTAGCAGTTGTGAGAGTGGTATGTCCATATGTTGATAACTTTGTGTCAAATGTCACAGACTCTGTAAGCCATTACTTTAAAACTCGTTAGGGCTTTCAAAAAATTTTTCTTAAATTGGAAACTAGTGTTAAAACTCCCTTCTTTTAGTTCTTGTGCACAAAATGACAGGGAGGACTTTATTTCCCTTTTTCCCCCAGAGTGTTCTCCCAACCCCTGAAGAAGTTGAAGCCAGAGAGACCTCTGCTGACCAACCAGGACCTCCTGTCAGGCAACTTCAGCGTGGACCAGCTGGAATACAAACCCGCGCAGCGTGCTGCCTCACCAGAACCTGTTGACCCGTATGAGTTCATGGAGCACGACCCCTCGCCAACAGTGAGTTCTTCCCCGTACTTTGGTTTGTTGTTCACATCTGAAAGGGTTGAAAAAATTGTTGACGTGAACATTTTTGGATTTCTGCTTACCTCTCTTCCCCAAATTAATTGAAGATTAGAGTTCACAGGAATGTCAAGAAAGTGGTGCCGCGTTTGGAACTTGCTGGAACTTATTGTGCCACATTTAGAATCTGCACATCTGCCACACTTGAACTTGTGTCTCGTAAAGATGGATTATGTTATACTAAAGTTTCTTGGTCAAGTTCCCTGACTGCATGCTAAATATCACGACAGCATGTTTCAGATGTGCTTAGTTTGGCTGAATGAAGCACATGATGCAAACGGGATAAACCAGTTTGGAATTCCAACAGATCATGCACACAGTGAGGCATGTTGTAGGTTATTTGAGAACGCGAATATGCATGCACAAGGTCTAGGCTAGCCGGGCAGTCCTCATCCAGCTCACATGTTCTGAACATGTTTGTGCTGATGCAAAGTCAGATGGTTTGTTCTGAATGACCTTGCCCTTGAGCTGAGCTGGCTCATCAAGTCATGCATGCCAGCAAGCAGAAGCCAAGGCGACTCAAATCAGTTCCCTGTCAGTCACACAAAGCCCCAACAACCTCTTTATTTCTTCGCTCTGGTAGAGTCGGGTGATATCTTATCGCAGCCGCGGCAAGGACGTCAAGGGGAAGCCCAAGGGGCTGGCCCCGCGGCGGAACAGCAACCGCAAGGAGCGCAAGAAGCTGGAGGAGGAGGCGGTCCGGCGGGCGGAAGAGGAGAAGATGAAACAGGAGCAGATGGCCCAGGAGCAGATGCAGAGCAACTCAGTCGATGACAAGGGTAGGCCCTCCCATCCACTTCTCCCAGGAAACAGCCCGTGATTGCAGTAGCACAGCACTCGCATGCACATTCCTTAAAGCCAAGGTGCACGTGCACATTGGCAGCCTGTTGTTTGCAAGCATGGTATCGCAGGAGTAAAATGGCTTTTAGTTCTTCTCACTGAATTGTTTTGTCCTTCTTTCTTTCTCGTTTTGCTCGTCATCATGAATCGGTTTTTCGATTTTCCAGTGTTAATTTGTTTTGTGTTACAGCACAACTTTGTTTTCCTTTTCTGACATACTCCTTTTCCTTCTTTGTTTTTTAACCTGTTTGACTAATTCTTTACCAGGTCACCAGAACATGTGTATTTAAGCATTGGATTTCTTCCAACTTGAACGTGATTACTCACATTTTGCTCCTGCAAAGTCTTTACTACCGATAGTTTCACTGACATGTTGACAACCTCTTGGTTCATTTTTTTTTTAATAATATTTGGTTTAATGTTTTCTTCCATTTTGTTTGAACAAACAAATATATTTAATATCTTAAAAATAATTACTGCTCATTTGATTTGTAACATCGAGCTCAAGGGAAGTTTGACCACTGATGTACCTGTCCTACGTAGCAGCTTCTCCCCCCAGAACAGTTCCCCAATTTGAAATAGATGTAGCTGTAGTGAGTTCTGCTGGCATGGCAACTGAAAAATTTAACTCCATGTGTCACATCTTTCAATACAGGCCCCATGTCCAACCAGTCTGTAGGTCGGCTGGATTCCAGTAGCCTGATGCAGGTCAATGACCTCAAGGTCACCTACGAGGACCTGGAGCAGCTGTTCCAGCCCTCGGACGACGATGATGATGGGGTGAGTAATGTTGGGAAACTTAGCCTTGATTGCAAACTCTGTTGGTGGGGGAAAGGAGTCTCTCAGTCTCAGGTTTTCAGCTTATGGTATAAGCAATAGATGACAGTGGCTACTCTGGTCTGTTTTCCAGTGGGCAAGTTGTATTGACCGTTGACTCATGATGATGTCCATGCCATTAGGTTGTAGTCCTCGAATGGCTATTTATGTTCACAGTGACGGTATTGGCTATGCTCCAGTGGGCTTTGTTTGTCTGGCATTGGTTAAGTGCTCTGCTGGTCCATTTAGCAGTGGCCATGCCAACGACACAGATACCACTTCGTGTTGTGGACTGAGACCAATGCTTTCTTTCTTCCCAGGGTCCCTTTGAGGATAAGAGTCTTGGACCGCCATCAGAGGAGGCCAAACCTCTGCCGGGGAACACAGGCCCTGTCGGTGAGTCGGGTTGGGGAGAAACGCGATACCGAATAGATGTGTGACTAATGCTCACGTGTGCTCTGGGAATCACATCACACTCAAAGGCCACGTATGGACCATCTGTTTCAAATCGTTATTCAAAAAAGAAAGAGCTGAAGGAAGCCAGAGATGAAGAATTTTCTGGATTGGGGACATATTCTGTACTCTAGTTTTCAAAAATCTTTAAGCTCATTCTGTGTTACGGGCCTTCTCAAAACATTCCATTCTTCCACCACCCCAGAAATAACTTGTAATGTCTATTCGTAAGTAAAGTAATCATGACTAGACTACCTTAATCCTGCAAAGTCTCCCAAGACTGGATAGATCCTGAAGGACCCAAGGATGTAAGAGATTGACAAATTCTGCCGTCATGGCCCAATTGTGTCCAGGATCTCTGAAACCCAGCACTATATTGTTCGGAAATTTGCATGCAGGGGGAGCCTACAACAGTGCGACAGAGCTGGCCGTGATGTTCCCCACCCCGCCCTCGCTGGAGCAGCAGAACTCCGCCTTCTCCCCTCTCAACCAGCCCTGCCAAGAGTACCTGAATCATGGTTCGGTGGCGGGCTTGACACAGATCGAGCAGAGCAGTCTGGGTGACATCTCGGAGGTGGAGGTGGATGACACCATGGGGAGTCCCAAGCCAGACTCCATAGAGGTGAACAGTCTCGGCCAATTTGTCTGTCTGTGCCTATCCCTCATTCTTCCATCCCCTCTCTCCTCAAAGGTACCTGACTGTTAATCCATGATGTGCCCGGGACCAAAGGCATTGCCTGAGTAAACAAATTAGTATAGCACCTGAGCCAGTGTAATTTGCTGAACTGAAATAGAGAGCCCTCACAGTCCTGAATCTTCCAATTTCAATATGATTCTACAAACACCCTAAGGGGTTAGGATTAATCAATTTACCCCAAAACAGAAAATTTGTATCTTTACTTTAAAGCATTCATGTCAAAGCTTATCCAGTAGTGAATGGACTTGTTTAGGTACTTTGACAGATGCAGTTGAAGATTCGTTTGGCTTTTCTGTTTGTATAGAACTTTTTAATAACTGTGCCAAAGTCAGGTGCAAAGTTTGGAGGTACTCGGAAGTTCCTGTTAATTGAATTACTTTGGTTTCTAATACAGCTTCTTGCCCAGTTGACTGAGGCATATACCTCACCTACCATATTCCTACAGAGCACGGCAGTGTGACCATTAAATTGGGCTCAACTTTCAGCCTGTGTCATCCAACAGCACTGTACATTATAAAGAAAAATTCCACCCTCGCCAAGTTACTTCATAACATAATGCTCATTTTCCACAGGACTGGAGCTATGTTTATAAAACACCGATGATAGAACGCTTCGTCGGAGCAAGCATGTACGCACCTCTGAAGTCATTACCAAGTAGCAAGCTACCTCCCCTCAGGATACCAGAGAACTGTATCTACAAACCCTCCTGGCAGGTGAGTTTAAGGGTCATAGTTCAAGGGTTGTGGGTTGTAATCCAAGAGGTATGGGAAAGTCATGACCCATAATGAGGCAAATCAAAATGACAAGCCACGGTTCCAACTCAACGTCTAATTATGGTTGCGGTATTACGCTGTTCACAAAATGTAGTGAAGCATCCCAGGGATCCAGAATGAAATGTAGGCTTCAAGTTTGAAGGATGGCCAACCTGATTTGTTGTGCTGTACGTGAACGGCTTTTTGGGGTTGATTGAGAAGCAAACCGACATGCTCAGATTTTTCCAATTATAGTACGGTTGGACAGCCAGCCGCATGCTGACGTGTATCACAGATGTGGGCCTCCATTTAAGGGGGTCAAACTGGAGAGGCAATGCACGCAGCAAACACAGTTTGCAAAATGGCTTTCATGGGCAGGTACCCGGAGAATTGATGGTATATAAGTTGAATGATAGCATTGACAAATATAATTACACATGGAAATTCAACTCGGGAATGTAGGGTGAATACATGGTGGTTCAGACATCAGGAGATTCTATGTGGATCTTCTCTATGTGTTATTCTTACAGGTGCATTTCTTAATATGCATCATTGGCAGGATTTAGTTGGTGTAACTGTGTTTACATGTGTATTGACATAACTGTCTGGACTTGTTCCCCTACCAGATTCCACTCTCACCAAAGCCAGAATTTATACCTACAACCAAAGAAAGGTAAGAAACCAAGCTGAAGCCTACTCCGTATCTGCCTCCTGACATCTTGAAAGTAAGAGAGGAACTGAAATCAGTGGCTCTCTGTTGCAGTCAAATTTGTAACCAGTTTTGAGCTGGTTTTCAAAAAAATTTCCTGAGCTTGGACAATTCAAGTATTGTGTTAAATGTGGCTTCTGTTGGACCAACAGTCTTGGCAATTTCTCAAAATGTTACTTTTGAAATGTGTACCAGATTCTTGGAAATTCTGGGCTCTTGTCGTAATCAGAGTCAGTTTTGCTCATGAAGCCCAGACTTCTCAGATTCTTCAAAATCTACCAAGAGGGTCTGAATGCTTTTGAAGGGTAAGGACAGGAGAGATCTAGTTTCTTACAGTGGTCTGTGAACTTGTTTTTGACAGTGGGCTGCGATGCCTGTTGTAAACACAAATACAAAGAATGCACCACTGGGTTCCACAGAGTGGAGGTCTATGAGAGATTGAGTTCTCATGAGACAAGCATCAACTGATGTTAACTTGACATCTTGATTGTTTGTTTAGTGCAACATCCGGTGGTGGTCAGTTGATGAACTCACCAGCCTCTGCTGCCGTCCCTGTGGGTGTGTACCCTCCTGGTAGTCAAGGACCAAGGAGCGTCGCTAACACCGACATTGCCCCCTCCCCGGCCTCCGAGGCCTCCTCCTACATCAAGAATCTCAACTCGCTGGAGTCGGCCTCCCTGGGCTCCAACATCCCGGAGGCGCACAGCCTGACAGTCAACCTGGTGCTGTCTGACTCCCAGCTCAACCTCTTCAAGGACCGGAACTTTGACAGCTGCGTCATCTGTGCCTGCAACATGACCATCCGTGGCAGTGAGGCAGCTGCCGCTCCGGGCTACGACACGCTGGGCCCTTGCAGCTGCGGCTTCAGCGCCGTCATGAACCGGCGCTACGGCACTGGCAGTGGGCTCTTCGCGGAGGACGAATCTGAAATAACAGGCCAGTACGGCGACGTGGCCCTGTGGGCCTACCACCGGGACAACCCCATGCTGGCGGCTGACTTTGCCCGCAAGGACCCCCTGGCCCAGGAGGGCGGACTGACGAGACTCTACACCAGAGACGGGGTGCCAGTGGGCACGGACATCCTGAGAACTTCCAATGCGCTGTTGCGCTTGATTCAGGATCAGTGTAACACGCCCTACTCCACCTTATGTCGATTAAATTGCATTGCTAAGCGAAAGAACATAAACAGCTCAGGTCAGCTTGCCAGAAGTCAGCTAGAAATAGAAGGTAAGTCTTACAAATTTTATTAACATCCCCAAGGCCAGTTCATTCACGTGAAAGTGAACGGAAATACGAATTTGTGATGTCAGATCAAATATTCGTACTGCGAATTCGCAGAAGTTTAACTCATTTCAATTCGACTGAAATTTCACCACAAATCTTTTGCAATTGCGTGTAGTATGAACTGGCCTTTACAGATGCTGGATTCTGCCATTTCCCAGCTATAGGTTGTACACATTTCTTGTTTTCATTTAGATTTGATCACATGCCACTTAGGTGATGCTTCTAAAGTAAAGCCAGCGACCACAGTTCAAGTTGTGTATCTGAAATTTTGACAAATCAGAACTCTCATCCAAGTATGCAACCCCTGAGATAAATGCCAGTTGGATAATTGCGAGAAGTAGATTTTGCCTGGCATTTTTATAGGAATACATTTGCATGCTCTGCAAAGTTCGCATCATGATTGCATCATAATGTAAAAGATAGAAGCGTAGAAATTACTGGCTAGAAATGATCTTGCTAGTGATTTTTGTCACTGTGTGACAGAAGTTGTATGCTGTCAGTTTACCTTGAAACCCTGCAGCAATCTCTAGTCATTGTTTCTTCAAACCGCCGCTGATACAATTACACACCAACACCATTGAGGCAAGTTGTTCTCAATTGTCATTTGATTTCTCCCCAATTATTCATTCTGTTTAGAAAGGAGGACCTTCATCAGTTGCCATTTGTTTTGCCCGAAAAGGAAAGAAAAATCATGCAAGATCATTAGTCTAGGGCTGAGTCAATTCGAATCATTCACTTTTTGAATATTCAACCTTTAATTCGATCGAATATCCGAGTATTGGGTCATACTGAAAGGCAGATTGTTAATGAACAAACCATATACAAAATAACACACACAATAGTACATTATAATCGCTAGCTTCTTACGTCCAGGAGTATCTCCAGCCACGATTTAGCAAAATTCAAGAGATGAACAATACTTCTTGCCCTTTTAAAAATTTCTGTTCCTTTTTAGATTTTTTAATGAGTAATTTACTTTTTGAATCGTAAGATTTCTGTCGCTTTTCATTTAAATCTGCTTGAAACAAGCCTCCAGAGTGCAACTTTTCTCATTGAAAACAAAAGAAAATTCTCCCTTTTCATGAATTTTGCATTTCAAATATTCAGATTCGGAAAATGATATTTAAATATTCGATGAGTGATTGATTATTTGGATATTCAAATATTCGGCACAGCCCTACATTAATCCTACCCTGTGTCGCAGTACAGCGCATGCGGGGTTGTTATCTAAGATGGTTTTGCTTGTCTTTTTCCCAGACGGTTGCGAGGTGTGTTTTGCAGCCTTAGAGCAGGGTCGTCAGGTAGCCGAGAACTCCAGCAACGCTAAGCTGGACGACACGCTCCTCAAGAATTCATGCCTACACAGCTGGCCTTATACCCCAGGTAAAAACTGGGGCGATGAAACAGCTGTCCCCCCTCCTCCTGATCCACGAGATGTCTCAGAGTCTTGGCTCTAGATTCTGCAGATCTGAGCAAAAGGATCAAACTTGTTGGATGGTGCTTTGACTCCAGATTGAATGTCTCTAGTCAGCCACAGTTACAGATGAAGGAGTTGTCGGGTGTCAAGCTTGCTTTTTCCGATTTTCCAATTTTAGACTCGGTTTTTCCTTGAATGTATTTATTCCACTCGGAACTCAATCTGGGTTGTATGACTTTCACTTATTGTGGTCTTGTGTTCAACTAAAGTTGAAGGTACACGCTTATAACCTGTAGATTTGAATGAGGGTTTCTTTGGGCTCATAAAATAGTACATTACCTAAGCAGGTATTGGTATGCCCTGAATACATGTACCTTTATTGGAGGTGGTGTGCGTACGCACACCAGGCAACTCAACATAACCCTGATTTCACTTTGAAGATTCTTTTTGACACTGTGAAATGTGACATGAATGTAATTAATGATGAACAGCACTGATAAATAGGACTTATCTGTAAGCATTCAAAGCTGTCGGTCTGGAAGGAATGGGGAAAAATTCTGCCCTTTGTTTAGAATGAAAAGGCCTGTGAGAAGAGTATGTTTGACGTGCGGTTGAAAGCGAGAAATGTTACGTTCTTGTCTGATATAATCAGGAAGGCAGTTCCCATAGGCGAGGGCAATTGGGAAGTGAACGGTTAGCGTTATGGAAAGCCGGTGTGCAGATATGTTCAGAAGATTTGATGTGGCCCAGTGAAACTGAAATAAAGTGAACCTGTGGAGAATGTCGTTTCATCAAGCCAAATGATCCTGGTTTGGCTTAATGAAAGTTTCTGTGGTGGACCCTGGCAGAACCTCTCAAAGTGCTTCTTGCATCCAAACAACTTTTTCATAACCTCCAACAAAACAAAGTTGTTTCTCGTGTAAACCTTGATTGGTTGGACAGTGGTGAGCCTTAAATGAACGTGAAAAAATAATGAACAAAAAACGTATTCGTTTCCAATTACTTTGGCACGACATACCCCACCTGAATTGCATGTAAATTATGCCATAACTTGCTGCACAAGTAAGTCATGGATGTACACAGTACATGAAGCTTCAGGAATTCGGCTGCAGATGGAAGAATCTTAGAACCCTGCTTGAAGAAATGTTTCTCACAAGATCGTTCTTTGGTAGTAACTTGATATCTCTCTTTCTATCAACCCCCCCTTATCCCCTTAACAGGCCTTTACCGCAGCCAGCTGTCCTCCCAGGACATCGTACGCACCCTCTCCTCCTTACAGCCCCTCTTGCAGGACGCCATCCAGAAGAAAAGGACCACGAGGTTATGGGAGCGGCCCTACACGGTGCAGGGACCCCTCACCTGGCAGGTGTTCTTCAACCTCGCTGCAAAAGGTACACAGGTGGGGCGGGAAGGGGCTGATTGAGGTTCAGGGTGGCATCCCAGTATATGTCCTACCCCCAAACCACAGGTGGCATTCTGCCGTCAATGGGCAATGGACATGATTGGGTTATAGAGGTGCAGATTTAAACCTGCCATGTTCAGCTTGGTTGTTGAGTGATAACAGCGATTTGGTGACAGTGAATGCGAAGAGATAAGTGACAGAAGGGTATTCATATCTGTCAGCTTTGGAATGGTTTTTATGTGCAAAGGATGTCCCATAGTCTTGATGCCGTTTTGGGCATGGCAGAATCCAGGTACCTTCCAGCAAAAAAATAACCTTGGAATGAGGGTTAAATGAACTTTGATCTTTTCAGAAGCCAGACCATGCAGGATTTCATTTTGTACTGTGCATTTCGTCAACATTGTAACTTTGGACTGCTGTCTTGATTTGCTCAGGCTCATCAGAGTCTCCCGAGCCGCTCCCCATTCCTCCCCTGCTGGTCGGCTACGATAAAGACTGGTTGTCGTCATCGCCCTACGCCCTGCACAACTGGGTAAGTTCTTTCACGGTGTATGGCAGAGAATGCCTGTGATTGGTTTTCATCAGAATGTGTACAATCCTGTACCATTAAACACAGGCCTGTACGTGGATGTACTTGAGAGTTGGTCACCTTGCTTTTTTCTCTTTTGGGAGAATACTTGCGAATGGAGCACTGGACAGCTAAGTTCTGTTTGAATAGTGATGGTTGTTCCTTGAATGCCTAGCTCTGTGTAGAAAGAAGGTTTTTTCTGAAACTTTTCCATTTTTATGCCTATTCAGCATTAGTGCCGAGGATTCACCCCTTCCTGGTGTAAGTTAATGGAAACAATTTTTGTTTGTAAAATGCTTTTATCCAAGTATCATCAACCTTTCAAAAGTTATTTCAGATGTGGACAAAATCAATCATGAAAGCCACTGCATTAGGTTTTGTTACCAAATGCTTTTGTTTTTACGATAACTCCTCATGCATCCATACGAGTGGATCTAATCAAATCAAGCCTTGCTCTGGTCTCCACCAACAGGAGAAACTATTACTGGAGCCCTACAGCACCGCTCGGGACATTGCCTACGTCGCCCTCGTGCCTGACAACGACTTCATCCTGCAGTGTGCCAAGAGTTTCTTCAGGGAAGTCACGGCTGTTTATGAGGTGAGGTAGAGCAAAGGCTGGTGCAGCGTCTTTGGGGACTTTGAGTTTCCTTTCACCTGTTCATGGGGTATAGCTGGACATGTCGGATTTCAAGGTTATACTTGACAGCCTTTGAGAATTGTCTGGGAATTTGTTGCGGGCTAAGTCAAACCATGGAATTCAACTTCAGTTTTCAGAGTGAGCCGTCTGTGAGCGTATCCACATAAAACAACCGTCAAGGCCTTTTTTATCAGCAATTTGGTTTTTAGTTTCCACCAGGAAGAACAGGCTAAGCTCTTGGCTTTGATGTATCATCTGGGTTTGGCATTCTGATGAAACAGTTGATTGTTGCTATTGATTTCAACTCTGCCAATTTCTCCCACAGGCATGCAACTTAAAAGTGGTTCCGGCAACTTCCGACTTATTCTGTCGAGTAGGGTGGCACATGTTCAGTATGAGGTCAATAGTTTGTTTTTGTTTTAATCCATTTTTGTATCTAGAGCTGTCGACTTGGCAGACACGCACCTATTGCCAAGACACAGCGTGACGGCATCTTCAGGATCGGCAGCAAGTACGCCTCCAAGGTAGCAGAGGAGCCCGTGGACGATTGGTTCTCAGAAATAGGTGAGCCCCAGGGCAAGTTCCTCCTCGAGTTGGCATGGCTTTCATGAGTTTTTGTTAATAGAACAAAAAAGATCACTCTAATGTTAAAATTGCGCGCCAAGTTACGATGTAGAGTTGTTCTTTAACACACTGAAGTCCGGTCCGAAATGCAGTTTGCACAAAATACACAAGGGGGCAATTCCACCCACAAGTTGATCACGTTGCCAACCTCATTATCAAACATAACTCTCAAATGAACAGAGGCGTTTGGGGGGGAAAAGGACAGTGGAAGCAATAAAGTGGTGCCTTACACTCCACTATTTTTTTTACTGAAACTTTTTTTTCATGAATTAGGATTGATAATTACGGGAGGTCAGTAACAGCATAACCAAGCATCCACTTTTACGTGGAATTACCGACCAGCCACTTCCCAAGTGCCATGACTTGTACAGACAGCTTTCATAACTAGTAGCTTTCATGACGATGCGCAGCAGGTCATTAGTTCCCTTGAGAAGAAACTTGTTTCATGGCATTGGAGTTGAACTGTTGCGTGTTGTCTTGTTCATGCCTCCTTCAGCACACTTGCCGGATTCATGCAAGCTGAAGTTGTACGCTCAAGTCTGCAAAGCCTATGTGGGTGAGTATTAACCCGCGCTGTGCTACAGCCCTTGAAAATGTTGCAAACGTAACAATGGCCTTGAGAACAACGGTTGAAAGGAAAGCCAAGGTTTGTGTTGCGGCAAATTATTCCAGGGCATTGGGGTTCTCGCTAGATACTGCAGAGAAGGGGGAAATGTGGAAGGATTGAGTTTAACTTGGAGAACAGGGCCATCATAGTTATGCATTGTGTATTGCATCAGTATTTCCGGTACTTGAGAGCCCCCTGGAATCAGGCTTGCTCTTCCTGGAGTTTCACCCTATCCTTCAGTTTGTAACTTGCTGCTTTCTTGGGAAGAATCTACTAAGCTTGGCTTTATTGCTTGACTGGAATGTAAAAAGTCTGTTCTCTCTCATTTTGGATGCCACAAGTCATGCTGAAATCAAACCTGATTCTTTTTTTAAACCCTGCAGGTCCCTTCTTGAGTGGAGACCCGCCCGACCACACCCTCTTTACCACCTCCCGTCATGACAGATCGTCATCTTCGTCATCATCGTCAGCCCTGTCTAACCTCAGTAACGTCCCTGGGTCCACCTCAGTCGTCCCCGGCGGCACCCACCACCTAGCCGGGGCTGGCCAGGGTGGCGGCTCGGGCGTGGCCGGGATGGGCAGCAGTCAGGGTAGTGGTGGGGTGTCCTCCTCCATGTCCCAGGGAATGTCTTCCGGGGACGGATTGGGATCAGTGGCAGGTGCTGGTTCACAACAGGGTAACATGAACATGCCGGCTCCAAGCACAACAGGGCCAGCAGGAACAGGTAAGGAGAGCATGGTCTCCAAAGTGGCACTGCTACTCTCTTAGTTGCATTTCCAGCTTAGTAGAGTCTTCCCCTTCCTGGTAAACCCTCCTGGGTTGATAACTGGGTGTTACAAGTTGGAAGATGCTCTTCTGAAACCAATTTACTAAAGAAAAAGTCTGTCAACCCACAATGGGATAGCAGAAAAAAAGTGGTGGCAAGTATTCATTTTAACCAGGGCAGCCTCATGAATATTAAAAGAGATAAGTTTTCTTCTAGCTGACAGTTGGACAAACTTATTCCAGTCAGTAGCAATGAAGCGATATGTGCGATCTGGGTGCAGAGTGGCAGAACTGGATTGATTTATGAATGTGAATCTTCAAAAAAAAAGGATGGTTAACCCTAACCCCCAGGCTTTTTTTGGTAGGGACCCTCCTCAATCCTCCAAAATCCTCCAATTTGGGGGCTGAAAAAATTGGCTTCTCCCTTAATCCTCGGAAATCCTCCAAAAATTTCTTGAAAATGTTACTTGAAGGTGCACCTACGGCCTCAATCCTTCAAAATCCTCTGGCAGTTCCTGTCATTATGTTAAGGCAGTACGAATGGCATTCTTGAGCAGTGCAGTTGATTCAAAAGAAATATCAGGCTGAATTTATACATGACTGATCAACAACAACACAAGGTCTAACCCATGACCTTCATGCTTGGCATCCTTCGTAATAAGCCATGCCATTCACCCTCAATCCTCCAAAAAATCCTCCAAAACCACCCAAAGGATTTTGGAGGATTGAAGAGGGTTAGGGTTTTCGCTAAAAAATACATTCAAAATGTTAATGTGTTAACAATACAAACCTGAATATAAGATTTTCTTTGTATTCTCTCTCCCATCCCTTCTCAGGCTCTCAGCAGGATGCTTCCTCTTGCTCGGACAAGTCAGACTCCAAGGAGAACGAGACGGGCATCAGTATCCCCGAGGACAGCGACTGTGAGAAGCCGCCTGCCCCGGCCGTGGTGGTATACATCGTGAACCCCTTTGGCCTGGAGGAGGAAGACTATGGGGGTGGGGGAGGAGTGGAGCAGTCGGTCTCCAGCCTGGCCTTGCTCAAGAGCTTCGCCGAGGTCCAGAACCACGTGCAGGGGGAGCTGAGGAGGAACCTCATCCTGCAGGTAGGCAGAGCTGATTGCTCCCCCCCCCTCCTCGGTCCGAGAAGTTGCTCGAGACAGAGTCAAAACCTAGCTTAGGGGTGATAAAAGTTTGGTTTGCTTGACTTTCCATGCCCTTTTTCCCCTCAGATCATCCCACTTCGCCAGATCCTTCAAGTGGCCAACAGCGACATGTCGTCCCGCCTCCTGAGCCAGATCAAGTGCCACGCCTTCTCTGTCTTCTCCCAGAGCCGGCGCCACCTGCAGCCTTCCGTTGCCGGCCAGAGCCTGACCGGCTTTGGGCCGGCTGCCGAGCTAGACCGGATCCTCAAGAGCAACAAGGTCAGTTACAGCTTGGGGAAGAAAAAAAAAACAATTTCTGCCCCTTCCCCCCCCCCCATACATTCCTCTCCCAAACAACTGCAAATAATGCCGTGACATCTCTTGAGTGCTTGAAAATTACATGCACTTAGAAATTTCCATAGTCTAAGAGACCTGCCTCATTCTGTACTCTGGAGATTTTAATGACGGGGAACCTGTTTGACTGCATTTCCCTTGCACTATCTGTGACCTCATACAAATTTGAATATCTGGTACACGTGACCAGTTTGTAAGACGTGCTTTACAGCAACTCTTTGTTGTACCAGCTGTATCTGGCAGAAAGAAACAAGACCGTGAAAGTGAATATTTTGGTGCCTGTTTGGTTTTATCTTGGTGGCAGTATCCATATTCATGAGTAAAAAGGGAGAAAACTCAAATGCTTTACTGATTTTAGGTATTTTTTTTTTAATTCTCCAGATTTCCTTTTCTTTGATGATTCATTGTGTTGAGAGCATGGCAGTAAGCCGATGGGTAACCCCTTCTCAGAAATGGTTTCAAGGAACAAATGTGGGGCTCTCAATTTGAATAGAAAACCTATAACCTGAGCAGTGTTTTGTATGACTTACATCGCAGCAGTGGCATCCTCTGTCAGCGTGAAAAGCGCGGCCAATTTTCAGTGTTTACAAAAAACTGCCATTTTCAGCACACTTAACTCCACGCCGAATGTAAAAGTGCCAAAAGGTAAACTTCATTGCCTGAAAACGTTCATTTTCAAGGAGCTTTTCTTTGTCGTTTTTCTCCAACAGGGCCCAAAGCCCCAGTATCGCCTCTACTCCCCGCCCTACATCCTGACCCCTCTGAAGGACAAGCAGACGGAGCTGGGTGAGTCGTTTGGCGAGCTGCGGCAGGCCTGCTGTGAGCTGTTCTGCGGCTACTGCCTGTCCCACGACCAGCGCCTGCTGCTGGTGGCCTGCACAGACTCCAAGGGCGAAATGATGGAGACGCAGGTCATCAACATTGACGTGCCTAACAGGTGAGGTGGTGGCTTTGTGGCCCGGAGAGGGGGGATGAGTTACTCTGTATGCTGGTCTGGCCGACTATGTGTCTTTGTCCTGAGTAGAGATGCGAGTCTATCCTGACTGACAAGCCCATGGTAGAGTGTTTGATGGCTTGGGGAGTTTTGCTGTGTGTTAGTCATGTTGTTTGTGTGTCATCATGCAGAGGGCTAACATCGATTGGTGGTCACAATCAGTAACTGTTTGGGTTGGTCATGAGATGAGTAATTTGGTAATTTATTTTTGTAACCAACTGTATCCTTTGATTCTGTTAATGTTCAGGATGCCAGAAACATTTTTTTATCCACTTAGAGTCCACACTTCTTTCAAGATTATATATTACAAGACGGCCTTTTAGAAACGGTTCATAACAAAACCATAGTGTTTGTGAATGTCAGAGTATGTTGCTAGCTTCACCCACTTGTCAACTGTCAGCTTTTTTCTTACATCTTAGTCTTTGGCACGCAATGTTCATGGCTAACCCTTCATTGCTACATAGTAACCAGTTTTCTTCAAGATTCTGATGTCACCTGAACTCTGTTACTTTTTGTTCCATCTTCAGAAAACGAAGGAAAAAGGTGTGCGTGCGGAACATTGCCCTGATTAAGCTGTGGGACTTCCTGATGGGTGTCATGTCCAAGACGGCCGTCCCCTGGAGACTGGTGGTCGGCCGCTTTGGCCGTCTTGGCCAGGGTGAACTCAGGGGTAAGTCTTGAATGCCTGAGATGGTTACTCTGTCGAGAGTTAGTTATTATGCTCAGAGGAGTTTATGCAAATAGGATTTCATCCATGAAGTTCTTAATGTGTGAACAATCCAAACCAATCAAGTTCAGAACTACTAATGAATATCAGTGAATTAACCCATTGCTTTACTGGATCCTTGAAAACACTTCAGCTTCTATAAATTTTGATTGTAAAGTCAGCATCTTTTGACAGCAAGAGTTAATGAATCTTCCTTTGGCAAGGTGCAGTGTATTGCTTTGTATACAGCACTTATACAGGTTATTATCCACACAAATGCAACCTTCTGACCCACATGACAAGCCATGCCTCCAAACCAAGGTTTTCCCTGCTGATATCTATGCGAGGTGGCCCACCTCACAAATTCTAGTGACCACTGCAGTCAGAAACCAGAACCCTAGAAGTCTGAGCTTCTGTTGGAATAGTTCACCTTTAAATTGCTCCGATTGGCAAAGAGGGCCACAGAATACAAGATGTAAGTTGTTTAGAGGCATTGGATTGAGTGTAAGCTGTTTATTAGAGCACATACAACTTTAGGCTGCGTTGGCAACTCTGACACTGTGTTTGGGCACCTAGTTTGTTTACAGCAATCTTTGGGAGCCACGTCGTACTCATCAGCCCCCCCAGGGGAAACCCTGCCTCCAAGCCATTCCATAACTAATGAATACTCTGCTGAATGCCATCCTCTAAATGTTTTCTCACCTCGCCAGACTGGAGCGCGCTGCTCAGCAGACGCTCACTGACCACCCAGAGCCGCACTCTGAAGGATATGTGCAACATGTGCAACGTGACGGGCAACAACGACTACCCGTGCATCCTGAGCGCCTGCCTGGTGTCCATGGAACCCGAGCCGGGCTTGCGCATCATGGCCGACTCGGTGGCCGCCGACAAGTGCAGCAAGAATGCCCAGCGGGACCAGCCCTCCTGCCAGCTGCACACGCCGGATGACGCCACCTGCACCCACATTCATGTCTTCCCCACCAGCGCTACCAAGCAGGTGAGTGAGCCGCACAGTTCTTCCCATCCCCTCCCTCGACGCTCATGGGTCAAGGTCCCGTTATAATTAGCCTGGTGTAGTAAGAAATTTCGACACCAGCAAGTTGTGGACTCGCCAACTGTTTCGCTCGTGACGTAGTGCACGTAACAGTGACATCTAACGGGGGCACTGGAAACTGGGATTCTGTGTGGGGGGAAAGAGACCAGATTACATGCTAGTCCAAATTTAATGGGACACCATCCAAGCAAACCTTTCAAGTTGACTGCGCCCTTCAACCAGCCTGGCATCCGTGTGTTCACTTTTTTTAAGTGTCATGCGTGAAATAGTGGAGGTTTCAGTTCAAGAAATTTCAGCTCCTCCTCATCTTCTGCAAGGACGACTGTTTTCACCATGAGCTGTGTCATTAATGGAAGAGAAAAGAGTAACTAGGTAATCAACACATCAATAGATTAACCTTGTTGTCAGAAAAAATAAATTCCTTTGGGCTTAGTTGATACGAAAGGCCCACATTAGGAAGCACCCCCATGAATGATCTTGTCTGTCTTCCCCTCCCCTTCCCGGACTCACAGGTGGCTAGCGGGCCTTACCAGGCCGAGCCCATGATGGACCTGTCCTTCACAAATCCCACGGACAACGTGCTGCCAGCCGACGATGATCTCCTCTTCATCACAGAGGGGCTGGGCAACCAGGACCTGGCCCAGATCCTGGGGCTGGGCTCCCCAACCAACATGGGCTCACCAGTGCCTTCCCCCGGTGGTGGGGGGCACTCGCCTGGGCCGAGCTCACCCAGTGGTCAGCAGATGAACATGGCGGTCAACAGTGAAAACATGAACAAGGTCAGTGGCCGAATTGATACTCTCATTTGCTGGAGGTTATGAGGCACCTCCCCCCCGCCCCCCAAATTGTTCCGTTGTTGGTGGTGTTTGTGTTAACATGTTTTCTAAGCGGTCAGTAGATGAACATGACAGTCAACTACAAAAAAGCTAAAAAGATCAGCTTTGTACCAGAACACCAGATGAACTACTTTCTTTTACTAGTGTTGTTACCATTTGAGCACTTTCTGAGTACTGTCTTCACTTACAGATTCTTGGCTTTCAATTGTGCTCAAAGTAACGTAAACATTGCCAGTGCACTACAAATGAAGTATTTGTGGAAAATATATACTGATGACTTTGGATTCTTAAAAAATGTTTTCCATTAAACATTTGGGACAGAAATATTGTAAAAGTGATGAGAGAATTTTCTTGGAGTACAGTTGTCTTTAAAACCTTAACTCATATTGCCTGAAGCCTGTAATTCCTTTTGGGCAGCTTTGTCCGCACTCAACCAGTGTTGAATACCTGACAGCAAAGGTTTTCCTTGGAAATCATTGGAATATAGCTGAGATTGTTATTGTCGGGGGGGGTCAACCCGATATAAAATCTCTCAGTTTTGTCACAAATCTAGACTCCAAACACCGTGCTGTGGACTTCAAGTGTGGGATGTCAGGCGACCCCACTCACTCTCCATCTCCAGCAGATGTCTCATCTTTTCTTGTTGCTTCACTGCCTCTTCCTCTTCTCCTCAGAACACCAACCAACAACTCCTTCCGACCGAGCCAGAGGAGTCCCTCCTCCAGCAGCCCCTGGCCATGGGCTTCTTTGTCTCCACGGCCAAGACTGGACCTCTGCCCGACTGGTTCTGGTCCTCCTGCCCAGAAGCTGAGAACAATTGCCCTGTCTTCCTCAAGGTACTGAAAAGAAAATAAAAGAACAAGAGCTTCCTTCGTCTTTCATCCAAGTAGTGAAGTTTGCATCTTCAACCTGAGGAATTAATTTTAATTCCACATGGGACCCCTTTAGATTGAAAAGGGGAAGAAAAGCATGGGAAAGTCATAGAAATCGAGATCATGTAAGGGGTATTTTTGATGAGCTGCTCCCAATGTGAAAACGGAATAATGATCAATTTAAAGGCTCTCCTTGTAAGTCTAGTAGTGGTTGCGATAGTCTTCCAGCTCATAATACTAAACAACTGTTCTCTGCAAAATGGCGTTGAATGTCATATTTTTCATATTGTCATAAACAAATATTGTCCTGAAAAGTCATGGAATTTGGTTTTCAGATTTCTGATTTGGGTAGATTTAGGAATAGAGTGAGGTTGTGCCTAAATCAATTGGAGTTGCACGCGCATCGATGGCACGTGGCTGGTGTGGCCACCTGATCGTCTCCTAGAGATGCACATGTCATTTCCAGCCAGAACCATAACTTTCAGACAACAAGTTCAATTTGATTACTCAGCTAGTGATTGGTCCGTTTTTACTGATTTCTGCGGTTCGGTATCTTGATCACAAATGAAATTCTTGTCTGGTCCCTAATCTTTCATTTTTTTCAATTTTTTGTGGGTTAACCAATTACATTTTAATTATTCCAACAAAACAAAATCACCTCTGAAAAATTGATTTTTGCGAAGTCTTATTGCAGCCATTTCAGACAACAAGCTCAATTTGATTATTCAGCTAGTGATTGGTCCGTTTTTACTGATTCCTGCGGTTCGGTGTGTTGATCACAGCTGCTCATATTTTTGTCTCTTCACTCTCCAGGCTGCGTTGCATTTACACAATGCCTCCGTGCAGCAGATGTCAGATGACATCTTGCAGACTAAACACAACCACCCGCTCGACTCAAACCTCACGACAGATGTACTCAGGTGAGTGGTGTTTTCTCTCTAAGAGTATGCCCATTGCCTCGTCCCGGAGTCCCCCTTCATTATGTTTGTGTGAAAGGCTCCACGTATGCACTATCACCAGTTTTATTTAGACAAAGAAATCAAACAAAAAGAAGACAAGGTACTCTCATGGGTGGAATTGGAAACAAAATATCAAGGGTTCCACTCTCATTTGATTTCTGTGTACTCTGTGTGCAAGAAATCTCTAATAACAATGACAATGAGAAATGTGGATACCAGCACCATTGCTGAAGCACACCCGGCCACCCATGCAGAGGCATAATTGGTTTGTGCACATCAAGATGAAAACTAGCCCCATGTACCACGCACTCTTAAACCACTGCATATTGTACCCCAGAGCTCTCATAAAGAGGTCACATAGTTCTGTAATTAACCAGAGCTTTTGCCAGATGGCGAGTTGACATGCAAGGATTTCCTTTGCCCATGGGATAAACAGAGGTTTATATTTAACTTGTGTTGAGCCTTCAAGCAGCCATGCCCTACAGCCAGGCGTTGTTTCCAAAAAGCAATGATGCATTAAGAAATGTCTCACAAACCTTGGATAAATGACCACCGAGGATCAGCATTTATAAAGTCCAACTGTATAACAAACAGACTGTGCTTCTTTGTATCTTATCCTTTCAAAAAGTCCTCTTTTTTTCCCGGCCGAAAATAATAACGTACCTGGGACACGCACGTTGTGGGGTAATACTGTGGTTAAGGAGTCCCTAAAGGTTGACATGTCTCGGCGAATGTTTAATTCCGTCATCATTATTTGTCTTCTTCAGGTATGTACTGGAGAGCTACAACAGTTTGTCCTGGCTGACCGTGGATCCGGCCAGTGGGGACAGGCGCTCCTGCCTTCCAATCCACCTCGTAGTCCTCATGCAGCTGTACAACACTATTGCTGCTCTGTTCTGACAGGGGCCCACTTACTGTCGCCTCTTTGGAACCCCCAATCGTAAATCAGCCAGCGGACACTTTGTGTGACGTGGCAAGTGTGCTGGCAAAACTCAGACAACCACGAGAGTAACTGAGACTTGGATATGAGAGTTATTTACTTGAAACAAGTCAGCAACTTTACTTTCTTTGAGTCAAGACTCTTGAAATAACTGGAACTGGTTTCTTTGTACGTTTGGAGGTAAGGGAGATCTTATGCCGGCCACTGTTGCGTTTTCTTTTTCCGCCCGACATTTCTCGAAGTTAGCCACTGAAAGTGTTCTAAAAAACGAGATTTCGTTCAGACTGTGAAATGACCTCAGAATCAACCTTGCTGCATCCATACGTGTGAGGCCAGTTGCCCTTGTGTGGCTCATAACATTGAAAGAGGCCACCCCAGAGGTTTCGTCAGAAAGGCTTACGCAGGCGGCCATTTGGTGCACCCTTTGGCGTGCGTGTTTACATTGCTGAATAGCAGTTCCCTGTTAGGCTGTGTGCAAGCGGTGAACCAAGTGATTGAAGACAGCAATCGATTTGGCCATCCAGATCTTCTCAAATTGGGGCAAAAGCTCATATCCCTAACCCCAAAGAGGATGACGACCTTCAGTTGGATTATTGCGAGCACCTGCTGAAGCTGGAAAGCCTCTGTGATGTGGGCAGAGTGGATGACCCCTTGACTGGAATCCAGAGGTCGTAAGAATGTGCCGTAACATATCTGCATGAGTGCCAAACTTAAGTTAACTGCTTCTGCGAAACTTGCAGAGAAGACCGTCCTTGCTACTCACAACCAACCAGCCAACTACAGGACTGTTCATTTCGGAGGAGGTTTAATATCTCAGCAGAGTCATTTTGACAGCGATGTAGAATGAGAGAGATTATGGGAGAAATGTCTGCTGCCCTGTAGCAATCATATCATTGCATCTGGACCTAAGCATCTGCTGCCCTCTGTGGATCACGCTTGTCACCATTAGGTGTTTGCATGAAGAATTTGAGGAACAGTGTGCACATTGTGTCAAGTCTGAACAGACCTTCACCGAAAATCTCAGTCAAGATTTCAAGCGACATGAACAGCTAGACACCCCCAACCGTATTTTGCAGAGTGAACTGTTTTGATTTAATTCCCTTTGTTTATTCACTGGTTGCAAAGAACCTTGTGTCACATTTTGCAATGGCAGGTAGCTGCTGCACATTGGGCCTGTTCGTTTGACACAGATCTGGAAAGCTGGTTCACTCCATCCATTAGGCGGGTTCTGCCGTCCGTGAACCAGTTCTGGATCACTAGTCACGATCCGGATCCACGTGAAACAAACAGAGCCTTTGTCTATGTGTCGTTTGGGTCAAACTCTACAACCTACACAGCAGTGAGGTTTTTTTTAACCCACAAGTTGCGTAATAAAGTGACTCCCCGATGTGTTGCATATTATGTGGGTGCTTTAAGTGCACTGCTTTATAGGATGGGTGCTATAAATAGGCACATAAGTGCATAGATGTTATGGAGTCACAGTTAAGACAGTTTGTTTTTTGAGCAGGTGTGCACTATTTGGGTCACCTGAAATGCTGGCAGAAATCACATCCTCCCCCAACCCCTTTTCAAATGTCACCCTTGGTCGGACCCTAAAATGTACGCATTTCCAATGATTTCATGTCAGTCCATTGTACAGAAAAAAAGAAGAGAAAACAAAATACAGGATTGTTGGAAATTATTGCAAAAAGATTACTGGTAACTCGTCCAATCAAAGTGTTGAAACTTTGCAAAGTGATTTCCAGCTTTTCAGGTACCATTTCTGAAAAGCTCAGTGGCATATCAGGAAGAGCTTATTTAAGCAAACAACACTGGCAGTCGTAGAGCTGAGAACTGACAGCCCTCGCAGATGTTTTTATGGTAACACATATCCACGGGAATCTTGTATTTTGCTAAAAATCACTGTACGGGTCTTGCCCCTTCCTCCCTAAAGAAATATTTTGGGGTTTTTTCCGAAACCAACCTAACTGGCTGGAGTATTGTAACAGACTGGCACTTCATACGATTTGGATCGGAATTGTTTGGATGTAACTCCCCCTCTGATGTGGCAGTTGACCACTACGAATGGCACATCTGCTCCACCAAAGAAAGAACTGTTTTGTACTTGTTGCCTCCTTCTTCCCCAAATGGGAAAAGAAATCCAAAACAAAAAGAAACAAAAACGATGCCGACCAGTCACTTGCCAATGCAAACAAGTGGCCATGTTCAGCACCTTTCTGGAGACTCCCCTGGACACGATGGAGCACTTCCATGGAACCTTGCAAACAAAGAAAGAAACAAATGCGATTTTGGTTTGGGCATGACAAGAAAATGCCGCCCTGCAAATTGAAATGGAAATGCACAGAAGGCTGTGACAGGTGAGAGATCAACTTCATCATTGTTGCAGATTTTGGAGCCAGGGAAATTTTTGGAGGGGATCTCTTACATGACTTCTCCCTGCTTATTTCCAGATTAAGCAAGTTCACCACCATTGAACCCCCTAAACCTCATAAGGTTGAAGGAAAGGCACTCTGGTTGCGTCATTAAATTGAATGTATGGAGTTGCCATTTGTAGTTGCGCCTCCCTCCTCCAAAGTTTGTACTATACCACTGTGACATAAGTTACCAAAGTTATAGACAAATTCTGCTCTTTTTGAGATGCACTCTTCAGTGGTGTACTCTTGAGTGATTTGTTTTCGAGGAAGAAACGAGGCAAATTTGAATTCTCATAAAGGTGAATCAGAGTTCTCTATGATTAATTAATTCCAGCCATTTCGCTAGGTTGGCTAGAAGTGATCAATCACAAATGATGCATGGAGTTGAGCCAATAACAGGTGCAGTGACTCGCATTCCCAACATACCTCCAAGCTTTGGCACCCTGCCATGATGTTCTGTTTTTCCCGCCTCGGTGTTCAACATCCGGAAAATGTATTTGGGCAACACTATAACATTGCTTAGTTGTGAGTTATTTACAGGCCCCTGGTTTGAAATACTCAAGAATGGATTAACACAAAAGTGTGATATACAGCGGTCCCAGGTCATGATCACAATCCAAAGGGATCTGACAGGAGGAAAAACATTCACAGTGGTCTTTCATAACTTTCTCGGTTGTGTAACATTCTCTTTTGACCTGTGGAACCCTTACATTTTCAGTGACTTGTTTATGTACCTCCTCCCTATGAAATCTTGTAATTTTGGAATGAAGTCCTGGCAAACCCAAAGCAAACTGCTAGTGTACAAAAACGTGCCACGGAGGAGCACTGTGAGGGACGGTGAGCAAATCTTGTGGGTTTGGCCGGGAGTTTGTCCAGCAAGTAGTGTTCACCGAGTGCCGAGAAAACAAGCACTAAGAAAGTACAGTCTTTCTTATTTACTGCTGTTTGCTAATATGAGTGGTTAGTTTCACTTTTTTCGTTTTCTCCTCTTACGGGGAGGGCAGCAAGGAAGAAGATTGACCAGGTAAGATACTATTTCTTCTTTGTTGATGTGGGAGTAGGTCTTGGTATGGTGCAGTGTTTTTAACAAGGTTTCTCAAAGATGGTTTGCAGAACTCAAACAGAAGCCATAATGTGTTTAACACTCACAGCAACCTGTGGTAGGACATCTCAATAGGATATATGGCAGGTACCCTGGATGGTGATACCTGGAGGTGTCAAACACCCCCAGTCGTTGACCTTGACCCCTGTGTAGAGTCCCGATCAGGGGTTTGTGCCCACAAGCTGGGATCACAGGTTCATGGCTGGTTGACCTAAGCCTTTTGTGGTGAACCCTTGGAGGAGAAACAGGATACCAAATGGTAGTTTTGCAAGTGGTTTGAATTAAAAAAAAAAGGACATGTCAGTTCAACTGTTGGACACACAAAGTGCTGAGAATGTTGTTACCCCTCTCCCATTGTTTTCATCTGCACATTCAAAGATACCCCGAATGCATTTCAGCCCAAGGCCCTACAGGGTCATCTGGGCATGGCACTTTTCCTTTTGAAATTTACCTTCAACTTCATGCACTAGAGTGTTCCTGGGGAACAAAAACACCTGTTAGATATTAAGAATGGCATGGATACTGTTCCCCATATTGAACTCTCCAATAGGGCACAGCTGTTGAAATGGCCGGACAAATTTCCGACAATCCCTCACCCTCCCCTTGTAGGACTTTGTAACATCCGTGTGCTGATTTGACACATTGGTTTCTGTACATATGTACAGAATCTATGGTATATCATGCAGAACAAAATGTGTACTTTGTGTTATACAGCAGAGCGTAAGTATTCATTATACAAAAAAAGAATATCGGTAATATCTACATAATATATTTTGCCTTTTGGTTTTTAATGAAGTATTATCATTATTGTAATATGGTTAATTTTCCCATCCGTGAACATTTGTCTTGATGGTGACAACATAAGTGTGTCATGATAGATAAACATTTATTTGCCTACTTGTATATAAATATTGAAATTATTGTCAATTGTACACAAACTGGGTGTATATCGGTGTACAATGTTTATGTAAGTTGATAAAGTATAAACTATAAGAACTCTTTGTAAATGTACACAATGACTGATGGGGCAAAACAGAAAAGAGGATATTTGTCTCCTTTTTTTATTATAAATATTGACAGAGATTGTAATCCGAGATGATCTATCACCATGGAAACAAATTAGATTTGGAAGAAAAAATTCATGGTGAGAATTTTTTTGTTTCGTTTCAGAAAATTGTATTTTATGTGTGTATGTATTGAAACAAATTACCGGATGAAGGGTGGGCACGGTGTCTGCAGTTCTTTTAATATGGCGAAGAAAAATGTTAGATCACGAGTCATTGTTTTAGAAATAAATTATGTGAGTTCTATGTTTGAACCTATTTGAGAGGGTGTATAGACTCTCACACCAGGCTGTGTGTAGTCTCTTCTCAAGCTGTTAAATGTCATCTCGATGATTTGTTTTTCTTTTGGTCCCCATAATTATGATATACTTTTCCACGTGATTTGTAGAAATAAAAGTAAGTTATTTGTCTCTAGTTCAAAACCCAACAAGGGAAAGGAAACGAAAGCCGATTCCAGAGTACTTCTTATTTTTCGCCTGAGTTTTCCTTCATTACACTCCCCCCTTTTTTTTTCTTTTTCAAAAAGTCACGTCCCCCTTGTAGTCTATGCTTCCTCGCCCCAGGTATCTACAACGCGCTACCAGGTCACAAGTGTCGTGTTGAACCTTGCCTCGGGCTGAGTTCTACGATACTGTACGAACATGGGAGGCGAGTAGTGTAAATCATCACGGTTTCGGAATCGTTTGCAAACTAGCGGCCAGTTTCGGGAATTTCCAGAAATCACTTTTCCGAGGCATCGCCTTGGGAATTAGTTTGCCAGCTTCAATTGAGCCTGAAAGTAAAAGATAACACAGTGAGCTTCTGGAACCCTTGCGTGGTCTGCCTGTGGCGATGTTACATGCGGTCGTCCTATCACGGCTGATAATTTTTGAAAGAATGATTCCTAACCATCCCATGAAACATTGACGTTGGAATTTTACCTTTGTTTTCCTCAAGTAATAATTATTTGAAAAAAGTCACCTGGAGATTGTTAAAACACGAACTTAATTAACTGTTGCTTACGTGAAAACAAGATTGTTCAATTAACGTTGCGAAGATTTACATGTACCTAGCTGCAGTCGATGGGTTCCAGATTCCGAGTTGACATGACTTAGTTCTTGTCAGCAAAGGTTTGGTAAAATATTGGAATCTTTAATAAAAGCAGATTACTTCATGTTTATAACCTTATAAATTAAGCAGGATCAAATATTTTGATCTGCTTTTATTTTGGCTTTTCTCGACTGTAACGTATACAAAGTTGTTGCTAAGGAAATGTATACCTTTGCGCGCCTTAGGGTCAAACGTTAACAACGTGGTTCTGGTCGAGCTGCGGGCTGGACGTGTATGGGTTTCAGGAGGTTTGGTGTACACGTTCTAATATAACTGGACATATGTGTGGGCGCGGGCGCGCTTTCTGTTTCTTGCTTTAGTTTGGGGAGTAGAACTACATTTCTGTAGCTGTTTGAGAAGTTAAAAGCTCAGCAGAGTCATTAAACCTTGATTCTCGATTCTGGATTCTCGATTGTCGATCCTTGATTCTTGATGATCACGAGTGAATGACCAAAGAGTACTAGCAGCTGGCTAAGCAGAAATGTAACATCGACAGACTACCATAAAATTTCAAACCGTCAATGTTCATCGGAGTACGAGACTGCAGCATTGCACTGTTCTTCATGTGTTTTAGATTTCTGGAAGTTATGGGGTCAATTTTTGCAGGATATTTCTCTTTAGGTCAGGTAATTGTTCAGTGTCTATAAATTGAGATACTAGCAAATATTTTCCAAAGCCCTTTACCAAGTTGGATTTTTTAAGAAGTGACTGGACGAAAAAATATATATTCTTAAATCTTTGCATGTTATTTTTTCTATCCAAGGTATCCGGAAGCGCGCCATGAAAGTTGACCCCTGATGGGCCTACGGTAAGCAGCGCTGGGTGGATGAGCCAGTTCTGTATTCCAACAGCGCATGCCCAAAATCAAACGCGCCCGAGGTCATTCGGACGCACGCGTGAAGTCTGCCCTATCAGCGTGCGCAGCCTTTCCGCTAGACTTGAAAGCAATTCGTTAGCCGTTTGTGTTTCGTCCAGAAGGATACCGAGCCAGCATGCTGCGTCGTTTTAGTTCTAAGCCTGTTCACCATTGCCCTAGACTGCTTTCGTCCCGTACTTACAGACGTCCTCCGAACGTAGGGACCGGTAGCGGGTGGTAATGAATTGGGCAGAATCTTGCCGAGTGTATGTAAATGAGGAATATGCCCGCTCACTGCGCAAATCAAGCAGGAGCTGACAGCATATTTTGCCCTTTCTTCTTCATTTTACTGAAAACACTTCATAAATTATTCATTTATCTAAAAGTTAACTCAGTAACCACTGATTTGAAATAAATTGCCGTAAAATGATTTTGCGATAAAAATCATTAGAAAATATATTTCCCTACTGTGATCGATATAGGCGTAGCAAGGATAGTTATTTGTGTTTTTCTCGCGTCCATGCTGAAACGTTTTTCATGCTGAAGCATTGCTATTGGTCTGACAAAAACTTCAATATTCAGTATCCAAATTAACTGGGCAAGTCACGCACATAAAACGAGTGCTAGCGACCGGTCTTTGTATAATAGGGACGGGGACCAGTCCAACTGCATTGCGAAGAAGGTGGACTACACCGACTTGATATGAACTTGCGCACTGGCAGACTTGACTCGCGCGCGTGCTTTGTTCCTGTGTGACCCTGGTGTTACACAAATACAGCATGGTTTGAAGGGAAGTAGTGGGAATCGCGTCGGGAGGTAGTCAAGCTGACCTACACTTCGGGATCAGTAATTCCCACTATTTTCCCGAAATAAACCGTGCTGTATTTGTTTTACTACACTTCATGAATATTCAAACAGAAATCTCACGTTACTGCGGAGTGCAGATGTGCATAGGAACAGGGCTTCATAGTCTGGTGCTGACATACGTTTGTGTCTTTACTTTAATAGTTATCAGGATACAACTCCCGACTGGTTCCGGGACAGATTACATATTTACGTGGCAGGTTCCAGAGGGATTTTTGATGCTACCAGAAAAAAACTACGGCGTGGCAGCGAGCCAGGTGGATACTCACCGCTATGACGTTACCTGGTCGCGTATCATTTCTACTTCACAGACGCGAGGTGGAATCGGCCAATGACGCGCTCCAATTTGCTCCTGAATATTCATGAGGTGTAGTAATTTGAAATACCGAATTGGCTCATCGTTTGCAGGCGTGACGAAGTAAAAGGTCACACAGCGAGTTTCCACAACCCTTGCGCGGTCTGCCTATGGGGATTTTACATTGAGCCGTGCTATCATGTTCGATAATTTTTGGAAGAATAATTTCTAACTGAAACCACTCCATGAAACACTCATGTTGCAATATTAGGCCTACCTTTGTATTCCTCAACTAATGTTTAGGAAAAGTCACACGGAGATGGGTAAAAAACGAATTTTATTAACGACCTTTCATGTTCGGCGATATCGTACCTACGTCTCCTTGTTCATGCACGTTTGTTTTCACTTCCCATGCTTTCGTGAAAACGAGATTGCACATTGCATTCCTGCCACCAGGACCATCTATGCGCCCACGTGCAGAAATGTTAATTTATTAGTGAAAAGTTCCGTTAAATACAGTGGATTGCCTAGTTCCGCAAATAGAAACAGTAAGGTTCCTCGCGTCTCAAAATCTCTCTTTCATGGAGAAGTTCTCGTTCAAAAATATCCGGAAACTATCCTGCTACATATGACACTAAAAAAATTTAGAAAGTCATTTGAAAGACGAATGTTTGCGAGCTTATTTCAGTGGTCGTTAGTTCACCCGGTTCCGCAAAAATTTGCCGGTTTCACAAGTACCGCTATCTGTATGGCGGGTCATGTTTTTCCGACACTTACGGCTCATGCACATTGACCGCGCGCATTGAGCTGCAATTGAAAGAATCGTTTGCGGAACTGCCAACTGGCCAAAAAATCCTGCAGTCACTTTTGTTTCCAAAACACATACATTTGAAAATGTACGGAACGCGTATTTTCGTGATGGTAAAACTGATAATTTGTGAAAGCAGATGGTCGTTGGTTTAGAAAAAGTCAACGCCATGATCGTTCAACTTAAAGAGCAACAAACGCAACATTGCGCAGAACGCACACTTGCTACTGCTGATGCGATCGGCGAAAAACAGTCGTTGCCGACCCATATTTTCGATTTTTCGGCACTGGGCAAATTTCGGAACTAGGCAGTCAACTGTAATAACAGGATATAAGTTTCAGCGTCATTTTCTTTATTAAGGTGATGCAGAAATAATCCTTTCCTTCAAAAACTATTACACAATTAGTCTCAGGTCTCAGAAGGAGTTTTGAGGCACAAAATAAAGACAAAATAAAAATGGGAAAGGACGGGGAGAGGAAGAAGGGGAAACGGGGAAAAGAGAAGAGTGTTAGGACGGGGAACTCAAAATATCACAGTCATTATTCGGGGGACATGTAGGCCTACCCCTCCCTTTTCCAGTTGGAAGCACCAGCGATTGTCCCCTTCCCCCTTTTTAAAGCCGTATCCAAAATAAAATTCTAGGTCTACAATAAAAAATGATAGGTTTACATACATTTCAGTGTTTGACTCTTAATTAAAAATGAAATAAATGTTGGCCAGGCATCACAAATTGCCTAAGATTGCACCATAGAGTATTTAGAATACAAAATTTTCCAGGGCCCTTAAGCGGGCCCCGGACCCACGCCGATAAGGGCTTCGCGCTGCGCCCTCTCATAAGGACATGATTTGGCCATTGATTTTGTGAGACGGTTCTCGGACACATTTCCATAATGGCACAACCTACCACCAATTTCAAACGGTCTAGCGATGCCAATTTGATTTCAATTGTTTTGTATTGTGGAAATATCTCTTGATCAAAGAAACTCAAAACACACGAGGGCATACTGCAGTTTGTATGAAAAGTTATCCGGAAATTCGGGAACTGTCAGACTGACTCTATCTTGGTTACGTTTGTCTGGATTCAAGTATAGATTCTGAGCTGTAAAAACATTTTGGCTGATAACATTAAGGGTCCGATAACGACCAACTGAAGCTGTTTTTCGACAGTTGCGAAATTCTGTGGAGACCTTCCATTTTTAACGTTCCAATCCTAGTTTTATTGTCACTTTAGGGATAAGACGACGTATTTTAGATGACAATTGATATAGTTAACTTTTCTGTTATGTTTAAACCACACAAGTACACTTAAAAATTATTCAAGGTAGGGGCAAAGGTAAAAAAAACCCTTGAAATTCATGCCGTACGTAACAAAATGTAAGTCCGTCGTTGGAATCCCCCCACCCTTTTGACAAATCCCGGATCCGCCCCTGATGATTACCGAAAGCACCCAACTCGATCAATTGGAGGATCGGAGAGGTTATTTATAGCTCTGTTCGAAACGAACCATGAGAATAGATTTTGCTGGAGAGGGTAG